ATAAGCCTGTTTATGCACATATAATTCCATTCGAGCATGGCTTTGTGCACGAAGCAATTTTCCATGTTTGGTTGATTTGCTCCAATATCTGAGTGCGGTGTGTGTGTGTGTGTGTGTGTGTGTGTGGAGAACGAAATATTTTCCTTTTGGCTGCTTCTATTTCTCGTTTGGCATCCAGGTAGATAAAACTGAGGTAAAACAAAGCGCACACACACACACACAAACACAAAAAAACGAATGTAGTAAAAATAAGAACTGACCCAGTGATCGTTAAATCGTCGGTTTTCCCTTTTTCTTTGTCTCTCTCTGATTTTTTCTTCTTCTTCTTCGCCGTAGTTATCATTGTGATGGCCTTTGATTTTGCTGTTAAAACATTTTATGGCTGTGCAAACCATTCGAATTGTCCGGAATTGTCTTTTCATCATATCGAATCTCGATTGTGTTTTGGCTATTTTATGATTTCTCATGAATGCTGTATTTTTAGCACTACATGAAATGTAGAGCTACTAATCTGCTTTTTTTTCCTAGATACTTTTTGGGTGCTGAAACAAATTATGGTGAATTTGAATTTTATGCTCATATTATTATTTAATTAATTTAAACCAAAGGCAGTTTATTTCAAAAAAGATATTAAACCAAGGTCTTGTCATTCATTTTGCAAATAAATATATTACTTCAAAGTTCAAAGTTACTTTGATGAAATAGATTTCATGTAGTGCGCCAAAAAATAGTTTGTTGTGAAACAACAAAATAGATTAAGTAACTAAAAACAAGACCGCAGAGCTTCGCTTCGCTCCGCTCTGCGTTCTTGAGTTTTTAGTTACTTAATCTATTTTGTTGTTTCACAACAAAATAGATTAAGTAACTAAAAACTCAAGAACGCAGAGCGGAGCGAAGCGAAGCTCTGCGGTCTTGTTTTTTATATTCCATTTGTTTTTCTCATCATCGTTTTCCTCTTATTTTGCAGCTAATCACACGTGAACAGTTCGAGGATGCACTGAAGGAAATCCAAGATGAAGGGATGATTGTTGTTATGGGCAAAAATACGATTCGAATATGCTGAAACAGAGCAGAGCATGGAACACCCACACACACATACTCACAACACATATTCACGTACAACAACACATCTCAAAACTCTCATTTCTGTTTACTTCATTTTTGGACCCATATTTAATATTTCAATTTATCGTTAATAGTTTGCACCGTATGATTGAAAGGTTGTTGTTAAGTTTTTTTTTGATAAGGTTTTTGAATTGATTTTCATTTTTTATTACGTACAAAACCGCTTTGAATACATGCCAACAATATGCATACCATTTGTTTTTTAATGAATTAAAAAAAGAACAGATTTTGATGACATAAGTCATGATGCAACTGTGACTTTTCATTTCAACCATTTTCCATAGGAATAATGAAAATGCTTTGTGCTTCAATGCCATTCATCTGGCTGGAATATTTCAGCTCTGTCATAATTTAAGTGGCAAAAAAAACGAAGATAAAATCTGATTCAAGAGAAGGGAATTTTCGTTTGTTAAAGAGAATTTGATTGTGCTGTAGCAATTACAGTGCCGCTGGGAGAAGAATGTGCATGGAATATTTTCAGTTGGTTCGATGGAACAAGTAAAGCAGCAAATGCTGATCATAATATGAAATCTACGAATGGATCGATATGCACACAAACAAACACATACCGAATCCATCTACAGGAACTGTTGATGCGATTGAATTACTTCGTTGACCATCATATTTCACATTTTCACATTTCATTAACTTGTTTGTGTTTAATTTGCAAAGTGTGGATGCCTGACAACCGGTACAAGGATTAAGGCAAAGGTGCATCCAAACAATGTGCGAAGAGTAAGGAAGAGAGAGAGAGAGAGAGAGAGAGAGAGAGAGAGTGTGTGTTCAGGGCACGGGAGAGACGGAGAAAGGGCGAATGAGAATAGATGAAAAATCGTTGATGTTTCGTTGTGCGGCTTTTGTTGCAATTCATCAATAGCATTTGTATTTAGTTATTCTTCATCGATACATTTTAGTTTGGTCCTTCGTGCGGTTGTTCTTGATTTTCTTCACTCAATCTCCTTTTTACCTTATTTTCCTGTTGTTGGTCATTGTTTCAGGTCTTTTCGTTGTTTTCATCTCGTTCTCTCTGCCACATTTTCTTTGCTTCAAACTTCTCTCTTTCGTACGCTCAAATTTTTGTTCATTGTTTGCCAGGGCTGATTGTTTCTCCATATCTCTTATTTGCTCGCTCGCTTTTTCTCTGTGTATTTGGTGAAATTCCTGGAAAATAGCTCTGAAATGTATTGATGTGCGCGCATTGAATTTTATGCCTTTTTTTCTCGAGATTTTGAGATTCCGTTTTCCCTTTATGCCTGCCTTACTCACTCTCCTTACTGTGTGCGCTGTGTACTATGTTTGGTATTCGGATAAATACGAACTCATTGTATGGCATTAGCATGGTCTTAGCTCGTCGAAATATATGTCAAAGTGATGGATGAAAGATGCATCAACACAATGGGCATCATCATACACCCATTGCTTGTGCTGAAAATTATAGCAAGAATAGACAAGCAAGAAAAATGAAACGAATGGCACACAAATCCACTTTCACCATGGCCAAGCAGCTATGCTTAGGAATAGATCTTGGCAATGTGCGGTTTTGTCATTTCTCATATTCATATTTGTAATTCAATTGCAGCAGCACAAGAATAAATGCTTCAAAAAACATTCTGCATTTTGCAACGATGAATTTATTCTCTCTCTGGCTTTCTCTATCTCCCTCTCTTCTGTGCCTGTGCATATATTTCGGGCGGGATTTACAGCAAGAATTTTTTTTTAACGAACAAAATTTAAGTGTACTTATCAAAAATGATGATCTAAGGGATTTTCGTCGAAACTTAATTTCAGTACATTTTTAGCACATTTTGTTTCTTCGTTGTTGTTGTTAAGAGTAGAAAAGAAAATTCTTCGACAAATTATCTACGTCAAATGTCGTTTGAAACTGACACAAACATAAAAAATCATATAACTCTCAAAAATTATTACCGACACTGATGAATACTTTATTCATCAAGATAAAAAAAATGTTTCGGTAAATAGGAGATAAAAGTAATTATAGGGAGAAAACCGCATAATATTTGCGGCGCCTATCGCCACCCTATTTCATACTCAAGAAAAATGCAATTTCGCTCCTCTGATTTCGGTTTGTTATTGTTATTGTTGGCGTTTCTTCCGCTTTTATTGTGCAGTCATATCAGAGAAGAAGAAGAAGAAGAAGAGAGAGAGAGAGAACATATATTCATGAGACTTTGATGCACTAGCCAGATCCGGTGTAGTAAAAGCAGGTCAAGAGTGTTGCTATCCTTTACAAAAAAAAATTCATTTCACAAGACATTTAAAAATAGAATAAACCGATAAAAACATCTGCGTCCAATTTGTGTGAGCGTTTACTTCTTCGTCTGCAAAGCATTCCACTTGAACAACACACTCAAGCCAAGAAGATCTCTCTCTCTCTCTCTCTCTCGTCCTTTCTTCATAAGTGGCCAAAAAATGTTTGGTTGTTGCTTTGAAGGATGAGAAATAAAAACGCCTTTACATGAATTACAAAAAACTCTACGATTATGTTTCTTTTGAGAGTCATCATCAGTAGTATTCATTTTGATTGGCTACCAACAATGGACCGACAATCATCATCATGAAGAAGAAAAAAAATCTTCTATGAATTCTTCAGTGATTTTATTTTTCTCGCTTCCTTTCATTCCCTTTAAAATTCACCATACTTGGGTCGGCTTTGTGTTTGCAATTTAGCGACGGGTGTTTTTGTGATAGCGCGTGCGTTTTATTAAATTAAATATTTAGCACTTCAGACGGATAAAGTTGATAGAAAGCGACCGGCTGGTTTCTTTTTTTTCTCGTGCCTGCATGTGTGTGCAGAAGTATTGACGAATTTGCAATTGTTGTTATTGGATTTGATCAATAATATGGAACATACAATAGTTTGATTGTCGGATTAGAACAAGACACATTTCGAATCGATCGCATATTGTGCCATGGTTTCTATGTGTCGATGGGTATGTGTGCGTGTGCATTTGCCTGTGTGTATGCGTGTATGCGTGCATTGCACACCCTCAACTAAATAGCGTTGATTCACCCACTGCCGGGCCCCGAACATTTCTTATTTTTATCCCGAAAAAGCCTAAATTTTTATGCCACACTACTCATTGGCAGCCATGTAGCACGACATATTTAAAGAGCCCAAAACGAAACGGTTTTATCCATATATCCGAGAACATTGCACATGCATTCCAACTAATCTAATGTATTGAATGCAATCGGTACCGTCGCCTTAATGTGAACATACGACGAAACACACAATGCAAAGCGTGCATCAACTTGCTTGTGGCCCTGTTTGCCTAATCATTTTTAATGATTTTGTTCATATATAGTAAATGAGTAAGCCATCGGTTGTTGTGTTCATGATCTTACTCAATAACGTCTGCATGCGATGATGCGATTGAGCTGAGTTATACGAGCATCGTTAATCGAACAGCGCTTCGCTTGAACGAAAGAGAGAGAGAGAGAGAGTGCGAGAGGGCGATAGAAAGTGAGATAGACAAGAGAGTGAGTGGAATATGCTTTGCACTACTCGATTCACTGTGTTGTATGCAGGTAGTGAAAAAGAATACTGAAATTCGGTTATTCGCGTTTTTGTAACACAATCATCATATCGGATGAGAGACGCACAGCACAACACAACAGATCGAAGGATGTTGAATATTGCATTTCATCGAGAGCAATATATTCTGAATGAGAGACGGGAAATTTTAATTTGAGACATTCAGTTTATGAAACATGAAGTGTGTGTTCTTTTTCTATAAGTTTTTATCTTTTGAACAAATGAACAGAGAAAAAAAAACAAACGAGCTCATCTGCTATTCAACTTGCCTTAATTGCTATTTAAAAATGCGTTCGAGTTTAGTTTGCAAAGAACTTCAACGCAGAAAAAACACAACAACAACAACAACAAGCAGACACATAGAGAGAAATTGAACAATGTCAACGAAAAATGAACATGGAAATTATAGTTGGATGGAATCGATTTCAATTGAAATCGTTGCATTTCGAATAATTGAACGGTGTTCCATTAAATGTTGTGCATGATGAAAAGTCTGTCGTTGCTCAACATTTATTTGTTGTGCCACAAACCGGAGAAGGCAATCGAACGAACGAACGAGTGAGCGAGCGCAGGCAACGCATTTGACAATCGGTAGGTTCAGGCACACACAACGGTTTTATGTTTTGTTGTTTCATGTTCACCATTTTCAATTTGTGTGCATGGGTTTGGTTGTTCAATTTTTATGTTAAGATCCCTTCAATTTTCCATGCAGTTCGACGGCTGAATGCAGTTTTGCCTGAATACCAAGATAGAGAGAAAAGAGCCTATCCATAAAGAGAAATTGACGCATTTTTAGGGGTTCTTTTTCATTATATAATAATAATAATAAATTCTTGACTAAAAGCAACAACAGCAGCGAGTATGGTGCGAGAGCGCTTCAACGACAAGCCATCAGCAATGTTCGGATGGATTGGTGATAGGAAAGAGATAGAAATGTAGGCTGCTCGAGCATTAAACTGCTGTATGTTTGAATGTGATCAAGAGAGAAGGAGAGTGAGACGGGGAGAAAGAACATTGACGAACAGAAAAAAGGGCCAAAAACGCATACAAATGAACCGACTTCAGCACCGACCTCTCGAGAAGAGAGAACAAGACAAATCAAATGCACACGCATAAGCAACGTACAGCCAATGTTGAAAATCGAACACAAGCGTACGCACCACCGAACGAAAGTGCACAGTGACGAACGACACCATAACATTCATACACTACGTGCCCAACCGAACCGATAACGATTAGAAGATTTATTTTTTTTCTCGGTGAAACATTTTTCTTCTTCTTTTTCTTCTTGTGTGTGTCTCTTCTATTGTAGCCTATGCTTTTCGGTGTATGCACACTACATCTCGCTTCCCCCTTCTCTCTTTCTCTCTTTCTCTCTCTCTCTCTCCCTCTGTGTGCTGTTCATACCCATCGGCTTCGTCGGTCACACACAGTAAGCCTTAATTCCGCATTCTTTTCTCACTCTCTCTCACTCTCTCTCACTCTCCCGTACACACTCTCTGTTTCCTTTTTTTCAGTTGCCGCTCGGCACACACTTGTGCAACTGTATTGGTGCAGCGCACATTTCATGTCTGTGTACAACAACAGTTTTATTTCAATATATTCTGTATATAGAGTCTATGCACTTGGAACCATTTAGTTAGTTTAGTTCTGAAAATCACACTGAAAATAGTCGCATTCATTTTTCTATTTGTCCATTATTAGATTCAATATACATATTTTTTTTTTTTGTTTAGTTTTTATGTTTCGACAACACCAAATAGAATTAGAATAATTTGACCAAAATAACCGAAAAAAGCGACTGAAGTAAATCGATACTAGAGTTAAGAGAAAATTTTGCATTTTTTTTTTTGGCCATCAAACGCCAAAAAATAGCACCATTACACGGACACTGGAATCAAACCAAATGTGATCGAATTTGTGCGGTTTTTTTCGTTCATTTTTTTTTTCATTTTTCTTTTCATTTTTTGTGTTGAGTCAAAATCAATTGTTTGTCGTTTGTGAATTTTGTCTAAAAGACCGTGCGAAATAGAACAAGACAAAACGAATATCGGGACATAACATTTGAATAAGTTTTTTTTCTCTTGCGTCGCAGAGACGCGGTTATTTAAAGAGAAATACGGAAAGAGAGAGAGAGAGAGAGAGAGAGATTCTTCGAAGTGAATGCAACTACGACAACGACAATAACAACAACAGAGAAGGAAACAAACTTTAAAAATAAACTTTTCCATGCTGCAACAGCATCGCGCTTCATCAAATGTAATTTGAACGCTAGCATTTTTCCAGTTTCTCTTTCTATCTCTTGCATTTGAACGGTACCATTCGGGTGTTTTTTTTGCTCACTGGATTCGACAGATCGGATCGCATAAACTTTGCATCAACGTAGTTGAATGTCACCCGAAAAAATTCGACCGTATTGAAAAGTTACCGCAAAATAATTAAAGCAAAAAACAAAACAAAACAAAAACGAACGGAAAAACGGGATCGTTACTTTGTCCAAATTGCAATTTCGGCGTCCACGAGAATATTCATTTAGGTAGTTTGGAGACGAGATGCTGCATCAATCAAGTGCGCATCACAACATCAGCTGCTGTTAGAACGGGTGAATTATCGCAGAACGACACAAGACGGGAAAATGTAAGTTTATCGGTTTTTTTTCCCTTCGCAAATTTGCAAGTAAATTACAATTAGAGTAGATTTTGCTTTGGCTTTCCCTCTCCTCCTCCCATTGGATTTGGAATATTTCGATTGTGTTTCAGCACTTGCTCGAAATCAGCAATCGCATTCGGTGGCAAAGATTAACGGGTAATCAAAAATGAAACATTCAACACATGACAAAATCGTCTTGCCTATCCGCTTGCTGTCGATTTAAATGCTTTACTGTTAGTTGACTTCTTTTATTTTTTTTTCAACTGTCTTTTTATCATCGAGCATTTTGAGCCAATCGAAACGACAAGCTTTTTGAATTCCGGCCTCTGTTTTTTTTTTCGTTTTTGTTGTTCCTTAGGCTAAATCATTTTTCCAAGAAATAATTTACCATTTGAAAATTACCGAAATTCGTTTGAGTTTGCGCCTGCGCAACACATGCACTCCAATCGAAGAGACTAGAAAATTGAAGTGGCACAACCAAATATGCTACCGAAACGACCGATTCGGATGGTACGCTGCTGTGTTGCCACCAAAAATGCAGTTGGGCGCGCATTCGTTTTGGCTTGATGTATGGCACAAGAGGAAAACATGTGTGCGTTTGTATGTGTAATGCAAGTCATATTAGGCGTTGACGCTCAAGTGATTCGGATGTGCTCATGGATTTTGGGATGTAAGCATCTTCGACACCCTCACCGAAATTCATGTTTCTTTTTTTATCCACTCTTCTCTATCTATCTATCTATCTATCGAATGCCTATTGAGCATCGGTCTCAATCCAAAATATATGTGGCTTTATCGGCTCAACATCGCATCGAATGCGCAATCAAATTGTTTGTGTGTGTGTAGAGAGAGAGAGAGAGAGAGAGAGAGAGAGAGAAATATTTTGCATGCACACGATAAAAAGAAATCCCATTTCTTCAATGTTTTTTCCCATTAAAAAGAGAAAACAATCCCCGAAAACCAAATTTGCCTAGATTCTACGGAACTAATCTTCGGTGTTGGAATTCAAATTCGTGTCAAATGTTTTGGTTGTTTATTATTGTGGAAATGGAAATGTTAATTTGTTTCCGATATTTGCATGATTTATAGAGACATTTTGTGGGGTTGGCTAATAAAAGAGTCATTTTGTGTGTATTTGTGCGCGTGGTCGAAAAGTAAATTTCGTTGCAATACATTTTAGTCAATTCAAACACAAATGCAGAGCGAGAGAGAGCGAGAGCGGAATTTAATATGAGCAGCTGCTTCGACAAATCCATTTTTGCGAAAACAATAAATTGTGATGAATCAATGGTCCGAAACGAATCGGATTTATTCCAATTTCAAAAGTATTACTCGAATCGACATGCGAACTGTACATACACATAGGCCACATACATAGGCCAACACACACAAGCCCACACGGCCGAGGGGGATGAAATCAAAATGTACATAAATTTATGGGTAAAGATTGCGAAATTGTTCCCATGATACATGCATACACACAAATAGAAAGAGACAGTACCGAGAACAGAGCACTAAATCATGTCAAAATGTTGAAAGGCAATTGTTTAATCGCAATCGATATTGTAATCTGTCTCTCTTTGCTGTTGCTGCTCGCTCTCAGTTTTTAAGCAATTACACGAAAGATCATAGATCCATAACCACAGGCACTGTCGTCCAGTCGTATTAAAAGTGAAAACAGAGAGAAAGAGCCAACTCAAAATGGAATCGGCGCATGTCGAGTCTGTCTTCTATTTATTTTTTGTGTTGTTGTTTTCGAATCGGTGTTGATGTTTTGATCATGGAACACTTTTTTCTGCCTCCTCTTGCATTCACCGAGCATTCATCTTTAAAGTGTTTCTATTTATTCTTAAAAACCCGAAGGTGGAGAGCGAATGAAAGAAAAAAACAGAGAAAAAAATTCTGGAAAATCTCAACGAGAATGATTCTCTCTTAATTTGTCGGTGTTTTGTGTTTTTTATTCATTCGTATCGTTTTTTTTTTCGCTGCATCACTCGACCAATTACCAAAACTAATCGACACATATTCCAAAGCCAGTGTTTTTTTTCTGAATCAAAATCACTTTTGCCTCCACCGCCATCGCCGTCGTCGCCTCGGAAAAACAAACTCGACCAGACAGTAAAATATTGAATGTTGTTTTTTTATTACTGTCTTCTTGCTTGTTCAGAGCAGCAAACCATCAGAAACCATGATCTCGTGTAAATAGAACACATGAAAGCCCAAAGAAACAGAGAAAATAATAGAAACCAGAACTTTCAAATTAATGGCCAACTGAGAGAGTCATGAGCATGAATTCCATTTCTTTTACGCTGTTGCGCTTTGTTTTCGTCGACGAATGTTCTCTCTCTCTCTCGCTCTCTCTCTTCTCCGTTCCTTTTCTTTCTTTCTGTCTTCTGGTTACTTTATTATGACTTCCTTCTTTTGTTTACGTTTTGAGCGAGATTTTGATTAGAGCGTGTGTAAGCTGAACTGAAGTGTACACATTCGTATCACACATACATATGTGAAATGAAATGAATACATGCACAATGCACATCCCAATCCAATATTATACGCCATCTATCTACAATTTGGTCTAATATGTTTAATATTAATATCGTTTTGGTAAATGATCATCAATTTACATTTTCGGTTCGGAATCCATGTTATCATCTTTTGCTCTCGTTCATTTCATTTTTTCGACACACAGCCACAACTGGCCGGACTTCATTGTTTTTATATTTGGATCGATATAGACGATTTTTATTCGATGTTTCACATCTTGTTGCTATTGATGTTGCTGTTTGCTCTTCGTGTGTGTGCGCGCGCGTATGTCTCATTTCATCAGTATCACATTCGCATGTTAGGGATCATATGTGCACCCTTGTTTATCCCCGCAGCATTTAATTTATCGATATTACTAGAATGCACGCTGCCACCACCACCACCGCTTTCATTTTGCCCAGATAAAATTCATTATGGAAACCATTTCGGTTGTGCGTAAATTTCATGGGCAAAAATTATAAATATTTTATCAATATATGAGCATATTCCGAGGAGGTTGTTTGATTTTCCATCTCGCCACTTCTCATTACTTCTACGCATACACCGATGCCAATGACGATGGCCAAAAGTATATATTTGGTAAATTGTTGATGGGATTTAGTCGTTTGAGACATTGATAGACACATACTTAATATTGCAACACGGAAGAGAAGAAAAGTAAAAAGAAAAAAGTAACACGGGTAACAGTGTGGTGGATAAAGTTTGTGGGGATTGTTATTTCTTCTTTCATTCCACTCCACTACGCAATAGTAGTGTGTCCATTTATACGTAGGACCGATAAATTAACTATATAAACATGCGTGCACAATTCAAAAACAAGAGCCAAATGATACACACGGTAAACAAGAGCATCACACACCAAAAAAAGGAAGCACAACGACTGCGAGTGAGAGAAAGTGGCTGAGTCGAACGACGACGAACAAATTAGGGGAGAACATTTTTCCGTGCTTGAAATTGTTACTGTTATCCTAACCTTTGTCAAATGGAAACAAAATCAGCAAAATTTTATTTCAACACATAAAACTGATCTCTCATCCCATGAACTTTTCTGTAAGCTGAATTATTGATGGCGGTGCGCATTTTGCTAAAAACCATTCGTTAGATTTTATTTCGCTCTTCGCTCATATCATCGTGACGATGATTCTTCTTTCTTCTTCTTATTTTGCTCTCGCCAAAACGAAAAACTTATACGGTGTGTTTTGCTCAATGTCGCCACATACACAAACACAACAGCGTGAGCGTTAAAGTTAGACGATGGGATAGTACAAACGAGAATGAGTGAGTGCGTACATGCAATCGCCTAACGAATTCATTTGCGAAATAAAGATACAGATTACAGAGAGTAAAAGCCGCGTCAGCAGTAACAAAAGTGGAGTAACAATTTTGAAGAAGCAGCGAAATAAAGAGAAAGAGAGAAAGGGAGAAAGAGCAGGCAGGAAAAAGGGTCGGTTTTTATAAGGAAATATACAACGAAAAAATATTATGTGAGGGTAATGTGTCATTGCTTGATAATCGTGCACCGAATTCACTGCATATTTTTCCTATTTCGTTCCATTTTCCATCCAATTCTCTCAATTCTCTTATGTTTTTCCCCTTTTTTCCTTGTCTGATCTTGAACAAGGCAAAAATAGCTCGAATCCTCGGGCTCGATATCATTTTTATATATATGGATGAGTGTGTGTGTTTTTTTTTTCATTTCTTTTTCGACTGATAGCAAAATCAACTGCATCGCTGTCAGTAGAAGAAATTGATGCCGTATTCGGTTTTCGGGGAATTTATCCAAATCCCCCCGAAAAAAAGAAGAAAGAAAGCGAAAAAAATATTGAAAAGAAATAAGAAGGGTGATGCTGAGCTATATGGCTTCAAACAATATCTGCAATGTATACACAAAGTGCAGAAAAACACCTTGTGCTGCCTCATGTTGTTTTCTCATTTCAAGACAAACTACACGTTACAATAGATTTTTTATTATTCTCTGCGCTGGCTGTGTTGTGCTTGTAGTTGCTCTGCAACCCACACCAAACGACGAGTCTTCGTTCACACAGTTCGAGCTGCCGAATAGCAGCGTGGAAAAAAAACGATGCATTTTAAAATACATTTTCCGAGTAGGAAAAGAGAGAAACGCAATGTTTTTTCCAAAAATAGAATGGTTTGAATTTTTGCAACACATTTACGCGACTCAACGAGGCTCATTCGATGTTAAATTTGTTTTACGAAATTGGTTTTCCTCCCTCACGTTCTGGATGCATTAATGTCGTAAATCGCACAAACAATGCGAGAGAAGAAAGCGAGTACGAAATAGAGGCAATAAGATGGAGAACGTTTAACCAAATCCATCGAGTTGGTTATTTGAATCACAAAACATAAGCCGAAAAATTCATTTTAGCTTCATTTGCTATTTCCATTTTACACGATGACTGAATGTGTCTGTATATACCTTTTTCATATTACGTCGTTGTCTACCTGAGACTAACCGAATTGAAAATAAAAATGAATGCATTTACAATGTTACCATTGTTTGGATGCAGCGTAAGCACACAAAAACTACCCCCGAAATAAGTGCATACGATACAGAGAGAATAGCAGCATAACACACAACCAGAGAGAAAGAAAAAAATGTTGTCGACAGAATACAAAAATAAAACGAGAGGCTAACGTATAACACAGAGAAAATATTTTAGTTCGAGATGCTTGTTTTGTGTGTGTACGTGTGTGCTTGTGAGTCACCGAAAGAGCGAGAAAGAGAGAAAGAGCATTCTCGAAATGCTGTTTTTGTTGTTGATGATGTGCGTTGCAAGCGATAATGTCAATTGTGTTTGTGTACGCATTCACATTTTAGGCTCACTCATTCAAGGCTTACACAATACGTTGATTCTCTTTACACAGAATTTTGTAGATAGATTTGGGCTAAAATTCAATGGAAGAAAAGCAAGTAGAAAAAAAAATTGAGATTTGAGGCAAATTCATGGAAACATTGAACAAAAATTGGGATAGTACAGAATTGAAAACATGAAAACGGAAGTAGGTGAAATAAAAACCAAAATTGAAACTCCGCAGCATTTATTTGTACAACTGAGGAAAAAGTTTGATTGAAAAGAGAAAAAATCTGAAGAACTAGAGACGCATCTGAACGACGACATAAGAATCCGTTGTTTTATTTATTCAAATATATTTTGGCGCTAAAAAATCTCGAAATGAATCGAATGATGAAGCCATTTTATTTTCATGAATCGTTTGTGAGTTCCTAAACGAATGAATCGTTTAATATATCTTTTTTTTCTTTCAAAACTATCAAACTATGATCCTTCATCAGTTTTTCCCTCTATTTTATGCGAATTTCCGCACCATTTTTGCAGTTTATTTTGTAGATGTCTCCTCAGCCGATAGTTTTTTCTTGAAAAGAAATACTTTTGCAAATTGTTTACTTTTATAACAACCATGTTTTTTTCCCTTTCTCAATTTCAGCCATCGACGACATAACATCCACCGTAGCCCACGTGTAGGCATTATGGTACTGAATGGAAAAGAAAATTTACATCCAAATTCATCGCAACAAAATGAGCTTACAAACATTGATACGAATGCCATAAAACCATTGGGAAGTTTACTTGAACAATCGACAACGTCGATAATAGGCGCACAGCGACCGTTACTTTTCTCCGAAATTGTTTTTAGTGATGTTAATGGAAAACAATTTGGAATATCCTGCACGAATTCATTTACAAATTCAACAAATACTTTAACGTAAGTACCAAAAAAATAATGCGATTAAAATCAAAGCCCGACAACAACAACATCAAACAAACCGGTTTGGAAAACTGTATCTTCAGAACGAAGTAATTTTTCAATTCAAAACTTTAGTTTCAAATTAAATATTCATCCAGAGTGGGTATCCTAATAAAATACCCTTTTAAAAAGGACACTTTGATAAAGTGATTTGAGTGTAGCTGGAAATATTGATAGCATAAAACTTTTTTAATTGGGTTCAACTTATTCCAACATCTTTTTCCATTTCCATTTTTCTCTCTCCCCCCATCTGCCGATGTCTGCCGTTTCGCCGATGCAGTAATTCTCTTCAATTCCAAACGCAACACAATATGAACGGCATATTTAATCCTGGTTTCAGTGCACCTGCACCGAATATGTTCGGTCCGATTGGTTCACAATTGTCAACGATATCGAATTCATCGTCACCAACGAGTACAAATAGCGGTGATCCACATATGGAGTCAATCATGTGGCTTGGAGCCGTTGGAACGTCACTGGCATCAAATTGTTCGCCAGTCAATGATTTCGCTTCAAGCATTCAATTCAACAGCGATGGCCCGTTCTTCAGCAATAGCAACGTATGCGGTAGCTGTGAACGACTTACACCCGAAAATCATTGCTACGATTGTAGCGACAGTTTGTGCAATCGTTGTGTTGTACTGCACATGCGTAATTTTTCAAATAAAAACCATACGGTACAAAAGATTAACAACATTTCACCGCCAAATGCAATGAGCCGCATGCCACGGTTCCCATCGCCACGACGCGTTGACGTCGACAATCAATGTGATATCCACTATGAAGTGCTGCGATACGTGTGCGAATCGTGTAAAATTATCATTTGCCAGGAGTGTTCGTTGCGCGATCACAAGGAACACCACTGTACATTTATCGATACATATGTGGAAAACCCGTTAAAAACCATTCAAGATCTGATGGATGTGGCCAGCGCGGCCAAGGGTCAAATCAAGAAAAGCATCGATCGTGTGATGAGATTCAATCATTATTTGGATCGGGATGTGCATGACATTAATCAGCGTAGTCGAAAGAGTGGTGTTCGGGCGACAAATGGAACCATCAACAGTGCCATCAGCAATGCAATTCTTCGGTGCGAAGAAAAAGATCATGTTTTTGCTGAACTTCTCGAGAAATTTCGGCTGCAAAAAGGCGCCATTTACATGGATCAATCGAGCAGCCTTCGTGCCGCACTGGCTGGAATTGCCACTGTTACCGATGATCTGAAAAAGATCCGTAAAACACTGCACGAATACACGCCATTCAATTTGGCCAAAGCACTCATCGATGCCGACAATAAAATCGATCATTTCATGAAACAAACCAATAAATTGATTCCAGCACCGGTGAATGTTCAACAGTTCCTTATCTCATTGGAGCGACGCAACGAACAACAACAACAACAACAGCAACAGCAAATCGTGCCCGATTTACAGCATTTGGTACAAAACACCGCCAGCCTATTGCATCCGGATATTGCTGCTCTGGTTGCCAGCACCAGTCAATTAAGCCTCATGTCGAATAACAATGCTGGAAAACCAGCACGTCGCCCGATTGTCCGCTCAAATCGCACCATGCATTCAAATAACAATCCGCAAATTCTGTTGCCACCGAATTTGCCGAATTTGGGCCAACAACCATCCACATCGGCTCTGTCTGCCTGGACCAATGGGCCAACGTTATCGATGAACATGCCAATGACCAACAATGATTTGTTTCGAATGCAAAACAATGACCTGTTCCCGAGCTTTAACGCTTTCAATACATCACCACCGCAATACGCTACGAACATTTACAATTTCAACGATGAACCGCCAGCGTTTGGTCAATGCATTTTCAATTTGGAAGGTTCAGTCATTGCCATACGCCGTAATGAACCATCACTTTCGTTTGCATACGATGGATCACTTGAAGGCCAACTGAGCCGACCATGGGGTGTTTGCGTTGACAAAGATGGCAATATTATCATTGGTGATCGTCGTAATAATCGTATTCAGGTATTTTATCCGGATGGACAATTTAAATTTTCATTCGGTTCAAAGGGCTCATTGGATGGTGAATTGGAATTACCAGCCGGTGTTACGACCGATCGTCAAAATCGTATCATTGTCGCTGACAAAGATAATCATCGTATACAAATTTTCTCATCGACCGGTCGCTTCATTCTGAAATTTGGGTGCTATGGCCGTGACCTTGGTGAATTCCAATATCCGTGGGATGTGGCAACCAATTCGAATGGTCACATTCTGGTGACCGACACGCGCAATCATCGCATTCAAATGTTCACATCGATGGGACATTTCATCACAAAATACTCATTCGAAGCGTACTATGATCGACACCTAAAGAGCCACATCACACCTAGAGGCATTTGCTTTACGCCTGAAGGTGATATCTTAGTCACAGACTTTGAAAATCATCGCATCATGAAAATGGATGGCAATTTAACCATGGTGAGTGTATATGTATATTCCAATTTTTGATTGGATTCCCATTTCCTTGGATGCAGAAAGGCAAACAGAAGAATTGAACAGAAGATAAAAAAAACGTTACTTATCAAATTTCCCATTCATCAGGTGAAGCTAGTGCGTGGTCATGAGGGTGAAGGCGAAGTGCATGAATTTAATCGGCCATCAGGCTTATGCTGTGATGACAAAGGTCAAGTTGTAATAGCTGATTCAAAGAATCAACGCGTTCTGATTTATAATACCGATTTCGAGTTTCAATGGATGGTAAGTCAATGGGATTCTCATACATTTTGCTTTTTAAATTGGTGTTGATTGAAATCGATGATAAGTGCAATTCGAATGGTCATTGATTTTCACACCAAGAGAAGAAGACAACTATTTTTAGCGCATTGTTTTTGTTTTACCATTTTTATTCAATACAATTCAAAAGAAGTGTATACAAATACACAGAGAATAGGATTAAAACTAAGAAATACGGCCAAAGATAACCAATGCAATAAATAAAATGCAAAAAAGAAATTGACAAACCCCAAGATGGCATGAAAACTAACCGAAATTTTGTTGTTTGATCTATATTCTATATCTATATAGTTGGATTTGCGTCGCACATTATCGGAGCTAAACAACGAAAAGGATCGTCCGAGCGATGTGGCAATATTACCTGATGGTCGCATCGTTGTACTGTTTGAAACGTCGCCAGACACAAAAGATTTCCCGCATCCGCTGAAAACCTTCGTTCAAATTTACTAAATTGAAAGAAAGCAATAATGAAAATTCTAGTGTGTTTGTTACAAGACGAATGACGAGAGGGTGGTATTTTTTTTACAAATGTATTGACATATTAATCGATTCGCAATCGACCAATATTTTTTTTATATCTCTATAATATATAGCTATATATATATATATTTTGCGATGACGATGTAAGATATCAAATGAAGAAACAATTTAAGGACTTAACAATGTTCTGTCAAAACACTGGAAAAAGCGAACAAAATGCAATGTTCAAGACTGACACGATTAGATAAGAACGAAGGAGAAAGACTGCATTTAATTAGATAAATTTTTGTAATGAGATTGAAGAGACTGAACAGTTAATTATATATATCTATGCTGTACAACTGAAACTGAATGGACTAAAACTCACCGATATTTGTAGTATAAATTCTAGCGTGCTTTGATTGAATGTCAATCGCATAATGAAATTTCTTTTTTTTTCACTGTCATGTTATTGAACGTAGATAATAATATATATTTTTTTGTTAGGTTTAGCCAAAATGAATGGGAGAGACTTTGAAAGACCGAAAAATAGCAATCGATAACAATCAATTTAGCAATGTATGAATATAAGAAATTCTTAAAGTTCCTTCCGAGAGCAAGATAACAGTTTGTTTTTTTTTGTGTATATCTAGAGGAGAAATGACTGACAATTTACTTTGCTACAGTGGAGGCCTTTGAGCATTTAACGAATTATTTTCTAGATAAATTGTATTACAAATAAATTTATTCACATTTTTTTCTGTACGCTAAGATCGCTTAAGATAAAAAAAACACACACACACACATTTAACACGGGTAGCATTTGAATGTTAAGTTTCATCGATATGATTATTTCGAATCGATAACATACTCATCGAATTTCAAAGTGAAGATAATTCCAGAAAAAAAAAACTTAACAAAATGCCAGCTAATTAAGTAGAACATTTTATGATTTAACAACTAAGTTTAATACACCCATAAAAACACACATATGCACATACAAGCAAGTGTTGCAATATGCATTTCACACACGAGTGATTTATGTAAAACAGAAAAAAGTAAGCACCAAAAATCGGAATGGTGTGTAAAATTGAAAGAATGTATAATCTGGATGGAGAGAATAACGACTAAATTGTATGCCGAATTTTTGTGATTTATTTACACGTAGTTGGAAAGGAGGTTTTAAATTTTTCTTTCGTTTAGTTCACAACCTCAGAAGAAAAAGAAAAAAAGAAGATCGATAGCAGTCTTTAATTTTGATTTAATTTGCACTCATTTACGATTTTCATTCTCTTATTTTTTGTAATTTTTTTTTTCTAATTTGTCATATATGATTTATATTCAAAGTGCCAATTGATTGGAAAGTTTATTGAAACTGCAAAGTTACCGAAAATGAAACAAAGCAACAAAAACATATTGCAATTTTCAAAATGGAATGTTATGAACAAGAATATTGATGGAAAAAATAACGAGTAATAAATGGAAAAGAAAATCTTGATGCAAGGTTCAGCCAAACAAATTTTTACTTTTAAATTTCGAATAAACGAATGAATACGGAGGGAATACGGCAAAGCCATCGAATCAGAACATTGACAAATTCAAACTCAACTTAATTTTGATTGGCACACACAAACAACACGCAATCACAATCGATGATGACAATGACAACCATGCATAAATAATTGGAATCTTTGTGCGTGAATACACTCACAAATACCCCAAATTTGGCTGTTTATTTTATTTTTTTTCTTTGAATTAAAAATATATTTAAATTTTGTAAAAAAAAAAAAATAACGATGATAAAGCAAAACCATTTTAATTTTTTTGAAAAATTAATCGCAGACAGGCTAATGAAAATGCAAGGACTATGAGTACTTATAAAAAAAAAACGAAAATTTTCGATAACGAAATCAATATATTTGTGAGATCAATTAAAACAAAAATCGAGTCGGTAGGAGTTTTTTTTTTCTTCTAAATTGTCCACAAGTATTTTAAATTTTTTGTGTGAAACAGATGATAAACTGATTGAAAAAAAAGTAGAAAAAGATAAGAAAAATCCCAATGAAAACAACACGTATTGGCAACGTAAAATTTAGGGAATGAAAAGCCAAGTAAACGAAATTATATTTTCTCTTTGGAAAATTGAAAAAAAAACACGCGATATTTAGTTTGTAAGTTGAAATGAACGACAAAAAAAAAGAAAACCATGTATTATTTTGGACATTCAACCACAAATTTACCTCAGGATATTTCTCCTTACCAAAACCATTTAGTGAGCTAGGTATTGCAGAAAATTTCGAAATGATAGACTTTAAGTTGAAACATTGATTATTTGAAACAAACGGGAGAACAAAAAAAACACCCCGAATCACAAACGAAAGAGTGGTGCATTCAGAACTATTATCATCGACCAAAACTGATTCACTGCCCACCGCGCCAGAGAATAAGATTTAGAGAAGAAGAAATGTATTTTTCGTGACGATACATGTTCGTCATACGTATTTCCAATGATGACGATGATAATTTAAGACGAACCAATGTCGAGAACATTCAACATTTTATATCAACTTGATCAAAATTTTTCCTCATTTAGATACTTAAATATATTTTTTTCCTAAGAAATTTTGAAAAACACACCACACTCACGAACAAAAAACAAAAAAAAATCAAACATTTCGATGTTTTAAGCCTCAATCAAGTATACAGTATTTTTACGATGTTCACGAGAATGTAACAAAGTATTTTCATGAAGTACGTCGAATTCATGTTGCCATATTACTTTTAGAAACACATTTCAAGAGTATTTCTGAAAAGGGGAGAGACATAGACGAGCGAGAGATAGAATGAATGAAAAAAAATCTATTTTCTCGAATAGAATACCGAAACTGATCATTATTTACACTATATTTCAACGATCTTCATTTGATAAGGAGAGAAAGACAAAAACACTCATTTTAATTTATGCAACGATTTTGTTTGCTTTTTCAAAATTTAATAATTTACTATTCATAGATAATCTTGCTAAAAAAAATACACATTTTGCATAAACATTCAGGCAGCATATCGGAAATTGATGTAAACAAAGCTACCTTTCACGCGAATGAATTGCGGAATAATGCAACCACGCTAACAAGACGTAAACACGCAATTTTCGATTTTAGACAATTTCTTTTTTTCTCGTATCAAACAAAGGACGTACCTATTTCTATCTACCTCATTTGATACTATCATAAATGACACATGGATATTTTTTTTCATATTTCTTAGTAAAAAAAATTAAAAAAACGAAAAATCGTTGACAAGAAAAATCTCTTTATATTTATAGCAGTCCTCATATTTTGTATTCCGAATTTTTTTCCCTTTAAATAAATATAAAGAGAACAAAAAAAAAACCGGCGCATTTTTTTCACTTCATTTTCAGTTAGTTTCAATATTGACGGTTTATTCTAAAAGTGTAAAGCGCTTACACTTTTAGAGTGCAAGCGAGTGAGCGCAAGACTTTATCTTGGTTCAGAGTGAGCATGCTACAGCTTCAGATCTATGTAAGTATTTTTTATAAAGACAGCGACATCATTGTAGGTAATTTGGGTCTAAAATTTGACACGGTGCAAGATCTGGTCGAAGGAAAAAAAAGTACAGAAAAATCCAGTACATGGTAAAAATAAATTAAGATAGAACATAAAGTCCTTGCAAAACTGGTTGCACAATGCACACACAAACACACGCACGACGAACAGAGCATCGAGTCTATAAGCCCATGACTTGCTCCGAGTTCATAGTTCTCAGTCGCCCTTGATATGATAAGTCTCATCATATCGTCTTTATTTACTGAATTATGCACTTGATATCCGATAAATTATTCAAGCGTTCGGATAAAATTCGACGATACTGCTTTGCATAACATTTCATTTTTCACGGTGAAAAACGGAGTGAATTATGTATTCTGTCAGAAGTGGCATTTATTGTAAAATGCATTATATCTATCAACATCAACACCCACACGCAACACACACACACACACACACACAAACAAGCCAATCATCAATTAATGCATGCATAATCAGATTCATGTTACCCATCCCGTAGAAGAGACGAACCAACGAGAGAGAAGAGAGCGTAAAAAAAGTACTCGTGACTACCGCAATTTTTTCACCATTATTGACCGAATATTATATTAAATTCCTTATGAAAATTTCAAAAACACCATTCCGTCAAGTGGTCATTATAAAATGAAACGCCAATTTTTTTTTTTCACTCTCTTTGGTGTACTGTTGTTGTTTCAAGTATTCATGTTGTCACTGAATAATTGAACGATGTGTGATGGTACATTAAAATGATGCAAAAACAAACGACACCCTCCAAAAAAAATTATTCATACAAAAATCAATTTCGATTAAAGAGCCAAAAATGTGAAGTGCAATTTCGCTTGTATATTGTGTACAGTCCAGTACACAGTCAAAATATTCATACGACATACGACATAACAACAACAATGACAAAACAAAATCAACTATCATTGCCCGAGCAATTTCATTTCACACTGTGATTCGAACAACACACAGGGACTTGATTCGAGCGTACAGCGCACAATGTTGATACATGCAAAGTGATTTAAACATTGTTTAGCCATTAATGCGTTCGGACGGATAGCAGCGGTCGGCATTTTTCTTTTCTTTTCATATCGTTGGCTATCGATACTACATCGAGAGTGAAAGAGTGCGAGCTTGACCAAAAAGTTTGTGTATAAGTTTTCATTTGATAGCATTTTAAAGTACTGGGTATGTTTTGTATTTGTTGTTGCTGGTTTTGCGTGTTGAGTGAAGTGCGATGAAAGTGCAAGTGATTGCATAAAATTGACTGTTGTCATTCACAAATTGTTGTTAATGGGTTATCATTTAAAAGTTGTAAAAAACCACAAAAGTTAAGTGCAGTTTTTTTTCTCACTCTCTTTCGAACATAATTGTGTGGAATGAAGTTTTGATTTGCAAAAAAAAAATCGGTGAAGTATCTTCAGTTTGTAGAAAAAAAAAACGAATTTGCTCGTAAAACATCTAGGAAAATACTAAAGAATAGGTAAATCGTGAACAATTATTACACGAAGTTCTGCATTTTTCATGCTGCAATTGAAGAGAGAGAGAGAGAGAGAGAACCATGTTCGACATAATCTCGAAATGATCCTTCTCGCCAGTTATCAATCTCAACGATTTAGAATCTCAATTTGGTTGTATTACAAAGTGTCATTAGTTCCGCTGTGTTTGTACCATTGGATACATATTGCCAATTATTTCATTGAACTTTGTCTTCTGCGATCGACTACCTTTAGACCGATGTCGTTTTCTTGCCGGTACAAATCTTCCATCCATACACTTGTGCTTCATTATCTAGGCATATAAGTATCGATAAAGGCCATTTGTTCTACGTTTTGCACCATGTTCTCAATTATTACCAATGGCCTAGTATTTATGATAGAAATTTTAGCGGATATAATACGGCCGAAAGCGATGGGATAATGGGTCGTTGCAATTTATTTCGATATTAATTAAATTGTCAAGACAATAATTTTGGCAGAAGCGAAAAATTGTTGCGCTGCTCAGACGTAATTGTGGTTACAATGACAATAATCGACATGAATATATGCTAGATAATTATCATCTTCCCTCAATTGTTGACCTTGTAATCACTTGGAAACTTGTTTTATCTTTATTTATTTTGAGTGTTAAATCGCACTTAGATATATGATGAATTACTACTTGTTGCGACCGACATACAAATATCCAATACAATATTATAGAACAACGAAACCAACGAAAAAAAAAATTCTGTGAACAAACTTAACAAAATACAAAAAAAAATAGCAAACTTCAGCTGTTTCAAGTGAGTTCATGTGTACACATTCGAAGAAAGAAAAAAAACGTCTAAAAAACAAAAGACATATACCAAAACTTCCAGAAAACCGTGTGTGGTGTGATTGCTCGTTAACCTACCGAGCTCACAATCGTATGCGATAGTTTTTGCATTCGATTTTAACTAATATGTAAATACGTTGGGTTTATTTGGTTTTCAGCGAGTTTATGCTAGTCTCGCTCTCCTCTTCAATGGACCACGGAACTATTGCATTCACGGCTATGAACGGAACAAAAGCCATCGCCACACGTATTCAACGTTTGTATACAATAAACCTCAATCTATCTCTCAATTGCCCTTCAATTTATATTCTTTGCGTCCAAAATTGCACACTTTCGAATGCTTGTCACATCTCAGTCGAGCCAACCACACACAAACAATATTTGCACACGTTTTATGGTTACTTTGTTGTTTGAGTGTTTTTTTTTATCTTCTTTGAATAGTAAATTCGCGCGTAAATCTTGCAAATCATCCCGATCGAATTCGACTATTCGGGTGATTTGAATGTCAACGGTTGTGCATGTATGCGTGCGAACGCGTGTGTGTGTGTGTGTGTGAATGAAATGCGATCGCATCGGAAATATTCAAACGTATCTCCGGTTATAGATTCAGTTCGATTTTATGCCAACTAACACCGTCCCTGAAACGTTGGAATGAATGAACACATTCGTAATTCAAACCGAATTGGGAATAGAAACAGATAGATGAAACACACAAACTCTCCAGTCTTTAAGGTTGATGTCAAGGTCTAGTTGGTTGTTGTTGTTGTAATTACTCTGCTCAATTGCTCATGATTTTTCCGATATTAATTGTTGTGCCGCGTCGTTGTTGACTTATTTGCAATCACTTGCACTCGTTCATTCGTTCGCAATGCAAACTTCGTTGCAATGAAATATTTTGCATTTATTGCATTCGTAGTGTGTATCGCATAACACCTTCCACTGTACAGCAGTAGTAGCAGCAGCAGTAGCAGCAGCAGCAGCAGCAGCAGCAGCAGAGCAGCATGCAATCGACCGTCTCTGAAATATTGTGGCTGAGCAAGGAAAACGTGAAACTTGTTTGTTTTCTTTTTTGAATATTACGAAGGTGTGCTCTGCCAGTTTGATGCAGCTTGATTTCGTTGCTGTTTTTCTTTTCTTTCGTCGGTGTCATTTGAAAGTTGAATGTATGTGAATTGGGCATTTTTTGTCTGTTGACACTGGCGATTTGAGAAAAATGCTTTACGTCATGCGACTTCGTTGTGGTTGTATCGAAAAATGAACAAACTCTCTGTTCGATCAAAAATCGTTGATAATCAAAATCGCATAAATGTTTTTTTTTCTGTAATTCAGACTGGTTCCATGCAATTTGAGTGCATTGCCAGAGTGTGGTGATTGTCTTACTTAAAATGCAAACGAAATAATTAATATTCTTTTTTCGTTCAATCCTGTTCACCTTATCACACACCTATGTGCGCACATCAAATAGACCATAACTATCAATATATGTTGTTTTCAAACCGGCAATATTTTTCTTCTGAACAACAAGTGAAGTCGGTAAATATTTTTGGAATCATGCTCATCAATAAGCATGGCTCATGGTCAATCTATCCATTCTTTTAATACTATTCGATGACCACTCACATGCTGCTGACAAAAATAAACAAAATATCCAGTATCGGATGAAGGTCGCTCCCATATCATTCTACCCAATTATTCCAAAGCGTCGTTAATCGACTTAAAATTCAATTTTATCGCGATTCATTTCGTATGCATATCATAATCTGAAGTTGTTTCACTTTTCATACAATTCACAACTTCTAACTATTCAAGCTTCAATTTGATCGGACAATCGAAAACCGTAAACACAGGTCACAGCTATCAAATGTGCGCCGTTGGTCACGCATTGTGACGATCAATTTTGAATTGCGTTTACATAGTAGACAGCGAACAATGTAACGAATGCTTTGTCATCCACTGTCTTCAAAATCGGGCTGACTGGTAATGACGCAATAAATGCAAACCGTCCCGCTTTTGCGAGTCAATCGCTCATGGTGTGCGGCATTGATAGTCTTATTAGAGAGTTTGTTTTGATATTTTTGAGATCATATGCGTTTTTTTCATCTTCTATTTTGATGACTTATGAGTTATGTAATGAATTTGATTTGCAACTGAAATGTTATTTTTTGTATATTGATTGAAGAGCTCAGCGTAAAATGTCTTGATTTAACGAAGAGATTATTGACCAATCGCATAAAATCCAAAATGCGGTGTGACCCACTGACTGATAAAATTGCAATCCAAATCGAAATCTATTCATTCGAATACGATAAATTGGAACACATTTAAATATTTGTCAATGCTTTTTTTCGCTGATTCAAGGTTTTTCTGTCTCTTCGGCGTACCCCATTGGCTACTTGATACACAATCGTTGTGTTTGAAATATACATGACAAGAGAAATCAATTTTTCTTTTGTTAGTTCTATATAAAAAAAAAATATATATATATATATATGTGTGACTGTATGATCGAACGAAATGAAATACTGCATCGTATTCCATATTCTTCATTTGCAGCGAACGACAAGCTATAACACGGGAATGTTCTTTAAAAATTCAAATTCTAAATCATCAATTCCACTGAAAGATAATGTTCCAAATCGATATACAATATGTTGTCAAACATTTGCACCAGTTTAATTTTTAGCTGATGATATTTCTAGCAAATAAATGGACACAATGAAAAAAATTCAGTCCGTTCCAATGGCAAAATTTAGTTCAATGAATTATCTGATTTGTATGCTCCGCAATTTGCTCTAGAAAATTATGTGTAATTTGTTCGCGTGAACAAACGAATGCATTGGTTTCTGGGTTGGTGGTATTTTATGGGAAAGAATTCTTGATGGGAAACTAGTTCACTGAATTTTTTATTGTGACAGTCTCTATAGCATGAGAGCAAAAAATATGGAGTGAAAATAAAGTAGCTCTACACTGAAACGCAAGCAAAAAGGAAAAAAATATATTAGACAACGGTTATTTTTGACGGCTAGACACGCAAGAGACATTCAATTAAAACGCCCATCGTTTGCCGTTTTTCTTTTGTAACACAATAAATTACATTGAAGTGGTAGTTGAATATGGAAGACAATGGCTCCTCTGATTGCTTTACTACAGGCTATTGAACCCAAAATGCTTGTGCATAGTAATGAAGTAATCGATTTTTCTTCTGAAGAAAAGTGATTTTTCATGTGCCGTTTTCCCTTCGAAATAGCATATAATTTTTTTCTTTTGTTTGATGAAGGGTTTAATCTTCCATTATTTATTCTGTTTTAATTTTTACATCAGGTGAACGTAATTAAATGAATCACCGAATCCATATAATTTTTTTTTCTGCTTTTTCCAGCAAGTATGAGTGCTGGTTTGCAGTTGACAATGGAAAATGGCCGTAAGGATAGTTCAGTGGCAGAGCCCACGCTATTTGGAGAAGTGCGAGAGGATGCGATTGATAGGATATCGCTGAGTAACGAAAGTGTTAACATTCATTCAGCGGTGGTCGAAACCAAAAATCGAATCAATTCGGCCAATCAAAATCGCATCAATGGCAGCCATGTTGCGGTCATTAATATTGATGCCGATGGTAAGTAGTATTTTTTTTAGCACAAACACATAACAATTATCCAAAACTCAAATCAACGAAGGCACACAAATTCATTGGTTGTGTTGTTTATTTGTTCATATAATCATTATTCGATTGTTTTATACTTTTTTGTCACATTGTGAGCCGTCATTTTTGACTAATCCCCCAAATACTTTATTCATGGGATAAATGCGTTTGGATATGCGTTTTACATTAAAATCGAAGCCATTTGCGTGGTAAAATTGAGGTGAATAACAAATTGATGGGACAAAATAAGTCGTAAAAGCTGTTATTTCGGCGTCTCATGGATGAGTTTATTGAAACGAAATTTCATCGAAAATGGGAAAAAAGTGTTAACCTTCTTGAATTTGGGGCTAAAGAAGCTAGCGTATGAATCGTATTGATTTATTAATTAGAATCGAACCAGTCAACAATAATTGGGGTTTGCGTTTCTTATTAGCTATGAAAAGAGAGTACCTATTGAATCAAATGAAGAAAGAATTGAAAAAAGGTGTGAAATTCTATTTTTTTTTTCCTGCGAAGATGCAGTATAGCTATTAGATTTTTTCGTAGTAATGGATTTGAAATATAATTCCGCGAATATTTCATTATTGAAGAAGATAAACATTCATTCAGCTTTTGATTACATATATTATTCAAATAATAAACTGAATACCATTCACTTTTGGTTGACTTACGTTTCTGTAATTATTTCAATTTGGGCGATTCAGCTCCTCTCTATCCACACACAAGTTTGAGCTTCGAATAATGTCTTTGATTTTGATCTTTTGTAGTTGATTCTGATTGGAACCTCGTTCATTTGTTCAGATATTTTTCCTATATGTAAGAATTGCATACCTATATAAAATTATTTTCGGAGTCAGACTTATCGCGAGCGAAGATTCTTAAAAAATGGCTTGGTTCACACTTCTGAGCTGCAAGTATCACTATAATAGTTACGTTGTAATTTAATTTTGCCACTACTAAGACTGTACATATGAAGTTGAAGCGTTAATGATTTTGTTTTGTCATCAAAAGCATTCTAAATTCCTTCTGTTCTAAACTTCTACTGTATATTAACGAATAAGAATATCCAGATAAGGGATTTGTGTCCACATTTACATCTTCTATCAGAGTTTGACTCAGGCGACAGATATATGCTTTAGCATAGAAAAAATATCCGCATATTTTTTGGTTTGTCCACTCTCAGCATATAACGGCACCCAGCTTCATCGAGTATCAGCACGCACACTGAACGTAGTAATATAGATTATAGAACGGTTTGTTTACAAAGGAAAAAAATTGTTTATAAACAAAATCTTCCAGAGTTGTACAGCGGAATGTATTTAAACGGCAGCAATGCTGTCCTATGTTAAGGTTTTGCGCTGTATAGTTCTGGTAGATTTTGTTTATAAACAATTTTTTTCTTCGTAAACAAACCGTCCTATACTACCACGTTCAGTGTGCATGCTGATACTCGATGAAGCTGGGTGCCGTTACATACTGAGAGTGGACAAACCAAAAAATATGCGGATATTTTTTCTATGCTAAAGCATATATCTGTCGCCTGAGTCAAACTCTGTCTTCTATTGACATTTAATCAGTGAGCTGGAGATGAAATCAAGTGTAATCCATCCGAAGTCCAAAAGTGTTTGAACAAAATGGCATTCAAAACTGTCCGCCACCATTCAACACCGATGAATCCATCTCAGCAAACAGCACAATCATCAAGTAAAAATGTCATTCGTGAGAAAAATTAGTCGAAGCAGAGTTATCAATTTTACAGAAAAACAGGCGATAAACAGTTCATTTTGGGGAGAATTTAATTATGGCTTCAGTGAAATTAAGATTGAGTGCGAGAATGTTTTGCAAGTCAAGTTTTGAGTCATTGCATGAGTCTTTTAGTTCATTTAGCCTGAAGTATACTTCTTATTTTTATCCGCTTTAAAAAAAATACGCCGCAAAGACATTATTTGTAAGACAATTGCAAAACGGGTTGCAATCAATAGAAGGGATCGTTGATTGCAACATCTCACTTCCGAAGAAAATAAAGTGAAACACTCGAGTTATCATTTATGCGCCAATCGCATGAATTATTTTTAACCATTTTTTCATAATTTTTTTTTCTGAACTGATAAGAAATATCGTTGCATGTCAAGACTTAATGTTAATTGTTGAGTCGAGAACTGCGACTTTGTTCAGATCACTCATTCGTTGAAAAAAAAATTCATTCGAAAAAATCGCGACACAACAACCAATTATTTTCAAGTGGGAACAAACTTATTTTTCACTTTCATAATGCAGTTCGTGAAACTTTCTCTATTCCAATCTTACTCATAGGAATGGCGTTTAGTTAGTAAAATATCCTTCAGTTGCCGACCCATGAAAAAAAGTACACCTGGTGTACAGCCATGTTTGCGCCATGTTTATATGGTGTACACCAGGTGTGAGCCGAGATTTGCGTCCAATCCACACACACCGTACACCACATATCATACACCATTGAATGCCTATTAGACTAGGCGCAAATTGGGCGCAAATTGGTGTGAGCTATCACAACGCTTTCAAACAACTTGAATTGCTACGTTGACGTTGCAACGACAATATTGTTGGGAATTACAAAGCACACACACACGAAAAAAACCTTCGAATTGTATAAAGAAATACGTCTAATATATGCCGTTAGTAGGTTTCCTTCCAATATTCCCATGTATTGACAGGAATCCTACCAAACAACACATATACGCACATACAGTCATTGGCGCATACACAAACGTCATAGATGAGTTGACGTTTGTGTATGCGCCAATGACTGTACATGCGTATGTGTTTTGTTTAGTAGGATTCCTGTCATTATATGGGAATTTTGGATGGAAATCTACTAACGTCATATTTTAGACGTATTTCTTTGTTTGATTCAAAGGTTTTTTTCGTGTGTGCATTTTTTTTGAAAAAGTCAAAATTTAAAAAATAATTTTGTGTCATTGATTGCGTGTATCATCCATTTGCTTTACAGTATTTTCTACTGCCTTGTTATAGCCCTAGAAATCGTTCAATGAATATCACATTAAGTTGCACTTGAATATTGAATATTATAATCCTTATTTACTTGAATCTTTCGGATGTATCCAGACCAGTAAACCGATATAACTACAATATTGAAATTTAATAAACGATAAAATAAAAAGCAATCTGTTGAAAAACTGTTCTATTCGTTTCTAAGGCTATAACAAGGCAGTAAAAAATACTGATAAATATATTGACAATGCATATGCCAAATACTGCAAAGCAAATGGATGATACACACAATCAATGGCTTAAGAGGTTTTCTAAATTATGATTTTGAATTTGTCGAAACAAAAAATGTGAATTGTAATTCCCAACAATATTGTCGTTGCAACGTCAACGTAGCAATTCAAGTTGTTTGAAAGCATTGTGACAGCTCACACCAATTTGCGCCTAGTCTTATAGGCATTTAATGGTGTATGATGTGTGGTGTACGGTGTGTGGTGTGTGTGGATTGGACGCAAATCTCGGCTCACACCTGGTGTACACCATATAAACATGGCGCAAACATGGCTGTACACCAGATGTACTTTTTTTCATGGGGATATGATTCGAATAAGAAGAATAACATTGAGACCATAGCTCCTTATAGTCGAGTAGAATTGAGAAATACTTTACATCTATGGTTTCATAAGCAAGGGGATTCGATAAAATGTGCAACATTTCGTCAAATAATCAAACGTCAGTATTTTATGATTGCGTGCACAGCGCAATTATTGATCATTAAAGCAAAAAATGAGCGGAACAAGTAGTAAATAATACGAAATTGAGGATTCGCAATTCATGCACGGTATCGGAGATAAAAGCAAGTTTTTAAATCACATTTGAAAGACGTTTCGTCAATTGTTCATCCATTTTTTAGCCGCAGACACTCAAAAAGATGATGAGAAAATAAATAAACATTTAAAAGCAATTCAAATTTGTTAGCCGTAAGTGCTCTTGGGAATCATATTTATCTCAGCGCAAATAGTATTCGGTATAATTTAAATATTGAACTTTCTGAGCAAAGTGCTCGATAACGATAACGCGATAGTTCTCTGTACAGCGATTGGCTTTAAATTTTGCGTTATATTTGAAGTGCGTTCATTGCAGCGCATACCCCTGATTCGAGTAGTCATGATAAGTCGATAAATATTATACACATTGATTACGTCAGACCCAACAGCTTGGAAAACGAGCTGATATTCGGAATACTATGTACGACAGCTAACGAATCGCCGTACACTGTGCTAAATCGTCTGCTATGCTGTCGCGGTAAATTGTTTATTTTCCTCTGTTATATGGGCCAGTTGTATTAGTTGTTGTCGTTTTTTTTCTTCTCTCTATCAAACACAATCCCTGGCACAAGTGCGTATCAAAGTTATGTGCTCTCCATGTATGTGTGAGCGCGCACACTATTGCTGCTCTCCGCAAGTGTGTTAGTATTTGATTTTGTTAGCGCTATAACGTTTCAAATAGTAGGAGTTTTGTCGCCGCTCGAACAAAAATACAAACTTATACACGAGTGTGAAGTAAAATCGTTCGTATAGCATTTTGTGCTTGTCGTGCTGCATACATCGGACGTATTTGCGAATTTTTCCATACACCAATTTGGTGTTGTTTGATCTGTGTGAAATGATAATACTTGATTAGACTGAATCAATTGTGAAATACGGTAAATTGTCATAAATTGAATTTTCGCTCGTTTTTTTTTTCATTCGAATTGGTGTTCAGTACAGATCTGTGAAAGTGAAATTATACTCGGATCTATAAGGAAAGCGTTGGAAAAATGCTTCGGTTCTTAGTCATTGGTGTCTTTTTATTAATTTCGTTGGAATCCAACGTAGTCACTGCTTACCAGGATTGTATGTATAAATCTAATTAAATTTTCCTTACGTGAATTTAATTCATGATAAAAAATGCTAACATCATATGTATTCATTTTTGTTTGTATTATGTGTTGCTGACGACGCTACTTGAGCTTGCTTCTATTTTTGGCTCAATGGATTTCGTATCGGTTCTTCTGCATTATACACGATCCTCAACAAAACATTTCATTGTCATTTCTATTGATGATTTCATGGCGCTTGCAATGACAACAATGACGACGACTGCGTTTGATTTTTTGTTTTCCAAAAATCTTCATAACGAAACTAGTTTCGGTGAGAAAATTGTGTCCGAATTCTCAGCTCAAATTGGCATTCAACCAGATCTACAACAATAAACCGAGCATTCCGCTATTTAATCAAAGTGAATCGGCCGTACTGGTGCATGACATTTGGACCGATGAAAATATTCACACATTTCAGGATTGTACATTTGTTGTTGACAGCAATTTATATTTGGCGAATGGACGATATGGACGCGGTTTGTTTGCATCAGTTAATACGTTGAACTTTCGACAAGATGCCCAGGGAAATTGCGTCGATTATGTTCGATTCAGATTTGATGGATCAAAAACGGACAAAATGTGCGGCCGTTTCATGGTTGACGATCCAGTGGGACAACAATCATTTTTCAATGAAGGCGGTGGCATGATTGCAGTGCATATTTTTGTCAATAAATCCGTTCCGTTCCATCCGCTGCAACGATCCATTGAAGTGAATCTCGTGTTTACAGCATATGAAAGTAGGTTTTACTCGGATATTTGTTTTAAATTTTTTCATTTTTTTCTTTCGTGGACAAAATTCTAATAATTCATTCAATTCACATACACACACACAGAATGTAACACCGATCAAAGTTTTGTCAAGTGTCACCCAAATTCCGATGATTTCTGTATCTCAAGTGTCTTCAAAAATGATGACATTCAAAATTGCCCACCACCAACTCCAAGTGATGAACCGCAAAAACTGCAGCAACAACAGCAACAGCAGCAACGAAATAATCTAAATCAGAATCAGAATCGGAATCAACAAACCAATTACGGCCATACAAAAACCACTGGAGGTGTTCCGAATAATTATGCCGAAAGTAGCCTTCTCTTCTTCACTGCATTCGTCACCTTTATCTCATTGAACTTTATGCTCTAAATGCCTTGCACTTTCGTATGAAAGTCGAAGTGTTTTATTTTTTAAATCTGATTAATTGTACTTAAATGTTCATTTTTTCTATCGACTTACACCATATTCTACAGTTTTATCTGCATTTACGGGTCAACATAGGCGATAGTCTTTAATCAAATACACTCATTTCTGGAGATTTGTTATCAACAGTGTTGACTCAACACGGAATGAGAAATTCTCAAAAAAAAAATGTGACAACTTTCATCTACCTAAAGAACAATTGTTGGCATTTAAATGTATTTATGGTTTGACATAATACACATCCAATTTCAATCGAAAAAATGTCATTCATTCCACATGCACAACAGAGAAAAATCGTATATTCGTAAAGAATTAAAAATTTGTTTTTTAAATGAAACAGTTATTAGAAGTATTCATGCAAATCCCATTGCAAATACGTAGAATGCCTTGAAAAATCGATTCTCGTCTAGTCGCTTAAATTATTTTTTGAATGGAATAAAAGTTTAATGATGTTAAAACAAACGGAAAAAATGCGTAATTTTAATATAAACTTAGTCATCTCACGCAAGTGTTGCACAAAATTGACACCATAACCGGGTTAAATGAAACTAATCGATATAATAAATGGTTCATACATTTGATTTCATACAAATGATGGCTCATAAATGTAATTATTTAATTAGCACCACATTAAATAATTCGCACGATTTGTTTGTGCATTAATTGCTGGATTGCTTTGCCTCAGCTTTTTCTTCTTCTTCTAATTCGAATCAAACAAAAGTTGTACTAAAAACCGGTGTTGAAGTTTCCAGTATTTGTGTATGTGTGCTTTTGTTTCCAGTGATTAATTCCATCGAAAATGTTCAGATGGAGCCTCCAACAATTTACCGACATTCCATTGCATAAATCAAATATTTCGACTGTCCATTGAATTTTAGCAATAGAAAACAAAATCAATTCAAACTTCATCGAATCAAGAAGAATTTCTTGCACAATGCAACAATTCAATTGCATTGGAATATCGATTTCAATTGCGGTCAACCGGAACGATTCTAAGCAGAAGCTACATCGACGAAATCAAGTTGCTTTGCAATTGACTAAAATGTCAGTATGGTTGTCTCGCTCATCGTCATATGCTGTGTTCTCTTGTTTGCCAACTGAATCGCATTGGTCGTCATGATTTCAACTGTCAATTCATTCCATAATATTTATAAAGTCATCTGACTATTTTGGTTTTTATTATAGCGTTAAGTTGAGCCAGCCGCTATTCCATTCGGTTTGTCGATCGCCACAAAATCGTGTGTATATTTTCTGTGTGGTACGGTCTGTACGATACGTTGGTTTTGTTTTATTGTTGTTGTTCACTGCCGCTGCTGTGCGTTTCATCTTTTTTTCGTGTCGCTTCGAATGATTTTTGTATTTAATCCCGTGTGTGTACACTTTATTTGAAAATCAATTTTTTTCTCCAGTGAATTGCAAGAAAGTGTCTCAAATTGAGAAATTCATCAGTGGCACATCGTGGAGTTGAATTTTATCTCGCAGATTTAGATGCCCTTTGAACGCATTGTTTTATTGAAAGTGAGTTTGAAAACAAAACATTAAAAACCCATAGAAATGTTCGCGAATTTAATTCATTGTTCAATGAAAATGAATTGGGATGTTGTTGATGTTGTAAATCATATTTTCCCAGTTGTTTGGCTCATAAGACACATTCACTCGAATGTGCACCGCATTCTGACACAACAATTCTCACTGATATTAGCCTTATCACCGTAACGCAGCAGTTTTTTTTTACGCGTTCTGTTGTTTTCATTGTTGTTATCGCATACAAAACTCATGTTTTATACGACAGGCAGACAGGCAGGCAAAAAAAAAACATATCAAGTTCTCTCGTTCGACCATTGTACGTGCTATTTTACATTAGTTCGTCGTTCGGCTGTATTAAAAGTTTATCAAACATTTGACCCAACATTATTCAGTTTTGACTGAATCGAAATGCGGAATTTTCTACGATTTTAGAATTCCTTGCTTCGTTCTTTGGTTGTTTCGATTTTATTCAATCGACAAACCCGTTTTTCCATACTTTTGTTCACGAAGCGACCGAACAGAGTTAAAAAGAGAAACAAATGCCTATTTTTAACCATTTAAATTGCTTTTAATGTGATTTTGTTGGTGGTTATTTTATGAACGAATCTTGATCTGCATATCAACCAATTTACTTTAGACTTTCTCTGAATTTATTTTTTTTCCAACGTTTTGCTAATAATATGATCTTCTTTTTTTGCAGATAGTCTTTTTACAACCGGAAAGAAAATGAGCAACACCGAAACTGTAAGTAAAAGATATGGTCTTTGGTTAACATCAGAGAAAGATTGTTTGTTGAACATGTCTGTCGAACAGGTGTTCGTGCATCAAATGTTCTTCTAAATTTGGTCCAAATGTCGATGATGAACCTGTCATTTATTCGAAATATGATGTAATCGGCTCTCAGAGTCAAGTTAAGTGTTTCTCTAGCTGTAAGTATACTTCAATGGTATAGCATTGTTGTTGGTTTGATGTTGCATTCGACATGCGACGTGCACAGACTATGACATAAAATGTCAATGTATTTATGGATGTCGTTAACATTAGCCAGTAATTGAAGCGAGATTGTCACTTTGTAGCCGATTCGTTCTACCATTTATATCTGCACGCAATGTGAAACATCACAACGATTTTAAAATGGCAATCTTTACTACGATACACGAATGTGTATACTTTTACTTTTGCTTCACGATGGTTGGATTCGAATCGTAAATGTATAATGAGCACATGATCATAAGAGTTTTTGTTTTGCTCCGCTGATGAGATCGTAGGAAACGGTATGGCTTTTTTGATAAAGTGTTCAATGGTCTTGCGATCATTTTTTTTATTATAATTACGTTGGTCATCGTGTTTTGATTATATCACTGGTGATCGTCATGTAAAATCCGATTGGAAACATAGTTGCAAGCCCGGTTTGAATCCATTTACAGAGACTGTCTTTTAATTCACACATTTTTCGTTAATTTCATTTCAAAATGGTTTATATATGGCATATCTTTACGTAAAAACGAAACAATTTGATACTTTGTTTGCTCGATATTAGCAAACGTTGGACGTGCACAAATCTGAATTGATATGCACGGGCAGAGTGAGAGTACAGCAGCAATATCGTAAAGCGATCAAAGCGGGAGATTTGATGCGAGATGAAGAAAAGTATGCGTACGTGGATTAACTGGCGAATGATCTACGTTTTAAAACTTGTTGGTCCGGTATTTGAGTCGGTTTCTTAAAATGAGCAATATTATCTCTTTCGTATAACTCTTATTGAGACGATGGACGTCATCACAGTACAAGAACAAGAAAATCCACTGGATAAAATGTGCGCGGCATGCTGTTATTGTTGTTGTTGTTGTCGTTTTTTATTTCTTCTCTCTCTCTCTCTCTTTCTCTCGCTCGCAATTTGTCGGAACAGTTAGATATGTGACATGAATATATAAATTTAGACATCGACCGTATGAACATTATCTGTACCGTGCTATTTGTGCTCTTCCTGATTTGCAACCATTCAATCGCTTGTTTCATCACCAATACTCGAAATAGACGTAGAAATCTGAAAACGAACGCAGAAAAAAAAATTTAAAATTTGCTTAGTAATCCAGTTGTGGTTTAAACCACACGGGAAAATACGGTTCTGGCAAATTGGGTGCTTAGCCAGTCAGTGAGGTCAGTACGGACTATACAAGAGATAACGTTGACGGCAAAGCCACAACTACCGCATAATACCTTCAAAGTTTATGCCATTTTATTTAAATATTCTTTTCTACCTATTGAATTGTCATGAAAATGAAGTGGTTTTAAATGCTTTGACATTCGAATAATAAAAGTCATTGTAAATGTAAACAAAGTCTTGGATGAAAAAAAATTACGTAGAATTCTTCTGAATTTTGCATTCAAATCACTCTAGACACCATCGGGACACAATCAAACGGTGTGCTCTCTCTCTCTCTCTCTCTCTCTCTCTCCCTCTCTCTCGAAAAATAATGATGTCCTGTTGATAATAAACAAGGACAACAAATAAAGCGTGAAAAATGACCGATGTCGTTGCAGAATCACCTTTTTCCCGTGCGCTGCCCAACGGAAAACAATGATTCGTCGCTAGAAAAAAAATTATACACACGAAAATTAAATAAAAATCTCATTTACTTTGCATAGATTGTATGACACGTATTGAAATAGTACTATTAGTCTACTCATCTGCGGTGTTCTTTAGCAACCAATTTTTGATTAAATTTTCGAGGAAAAAAACGCATCTTCAGAGAAGAATATCAAAAATTTTGATTTTTTTTCCTTATATTTTGGGTACTTGGACCCTTTTTTCTGATATTTTGGATTTAAAATTTAGAAGTACATGATCATGAATGCTATATAGATAAACTGAGACCACTGACGAAAAAAACAGTGTAAGTCATTGTGATATGGCGGAAATATTGATATCGAAATAAAACCGATTTCCACAACGAGTTCAAAATGTAAAAGACTAATAATTTGAAATTAATGTAATAAATGAAATCAATTGCATTTATAGCTCCATGAACGGGCCACTGTTGCGTTTAAGAGTGGCAAAACCATCGATTTGACATTCAGGTAAGTTTCAAGCCAATATTCATTTATGCTTTATTTCCATTTGTCGGAATGTGTGTGATCCATGAGTTTTGTTTTCAAACAAATGAATTATTGATTGTCAGTGAAGCATATCGATTAAGTAATTGAAATAATGTTTTGCCGTTTAGCACCCTCTACATGATTGAAATTACGTCAACGCCATCATATGAAATACCTTTTAAAATATTTTATTATTACAAGTCTAATTATCCATTGTGTGCTGACGTACGATACCACTTAATTCTCTCTGTTTGCATTTTTCATCAACACATTTATTTATTTTCGGTGCGGTTTCAGTACCCAAACAACTTGATACATAAATGTATAAATAACCGTTATAAATGGCTTGAAGTCAAAATGTAAACCATAAAAAGGAGATTGACAGCGCAGTGAGAATCACCATCTACGCAATCAGTTTGGTGTTTTCGATTGAGCATTTCAACCTGACTTCTTGTTGTTTTCGCTTTTTTGTTGTTGCTTTGAATAATTACGATATAGCGTTTGGTATGCCCGGTTTTACATCGTAGAAAATTTGTCGGAATTGCATCAACAAGTCGCTTGAAATGTAATAAAATCATAAGTAATGCGCATTATTTGTTTGATGCAACTCGTTTGATTCTAAAATATGCATCGGCTCGTACTGCCGCCGTTGCTTTTTCAAATCGAATATTTTATTCTATTTTATAAATAGAGAAGTTTTCTAATGGAAATGGAATTATTTATTCCATAATTTCTAATATTGTAAAATCAAACCAGGGGGAAAAATGTGCGTGAAAGTTTCACTCTTTTCGAAATCTTTCCGTAATTAAATTTGAACATTTGAAAAATAATTCTCACATTTCTGTTGAAATGACACAACGTTCATACAATGTTTTGTTTTATTTTTCATGATGAAACGTCGACCTTTCTCAACTTTAACTCGACTTTACATGACCGTTCACAAAATAGCCGCATTGTCTTTTGTGGTTAAAAGTTTCGCTTGATCTCAAGCAACACGAACAAAAACAGCAATGAATTTTAATAACTTTGTTTTTAATAAATGCCCAAAGTATAAGGTGCAAATCAGTATTGCATACAAAAAATCATTTTTGTGTAATTTGGCTGTTTATGCGAGAAAAAAAAACGGATAAAAATGTTCACGTCACCTGTATATTCCCAATTGTCACACAACTCCAAAATTCCGTCGACCACAGAGATTGGAATAGGTTGTTTTTCGTGTAAAAAGTGCAAGTTTTCTTGCATGTCAAAATCACAACGTCATGACGACGACCTTTGGGTGTTCGTAAAAGGTTTAATTGAGCCCAAAGTGATAATCATGGCTTTGTTGTTGGCCAACAAAAAACTGTTTTCTAAATAGACAATTTCAAATGAACTGACACAATCACATCTAAAAATAGCTATACACCTGAAACAAAACGAACACACACAGAGAGAGACACACACATTCGCAATCAAACATTGGTTGTGTTTTCACTTTGCTCACTTTTGTTGTTTGTTTTCCTTCCCACAGAGAACAGCAGCTGAATGCATTGCTTCGAATGTATGAAGAAAATGAGGATGCTATGTGTGATGCACTGGCAAAGGATTTGCATAAATGCCGCCAAGAGGCAATTATCAATGAGGTTGAATTGCTACGAAATGACGTGCGAAATTTGATTATGAATTTCCGTTCATATGCTGCAGTTGAATATGTAAGTGTTTTTTCCAAAAACCGGAACCACCCGAATTCAGTTTGATTGGAACCAAAGTATTTATTAAATATCTTCAATTTGAATGTGTCATTTTTGTAGCCAGAGAAAACGTTCGTCAATATGCTGGACTCGGTGGAAATTCACAAAGATCCATACGGTGTTGTGCTGATATTGGGTGCATGGAATTATCCGCTTCAGTTGACATTGTTGCCGGTGGCTGGTGCCATTGCAGCCGGTAATTGTGTTGTCATCAAGCCAAGCGAAGTGGCGCCTGCAAGTGCTAAATTCATTGCCGAAACAATTCCCAAATATTTGGATAACGTAAGTAACGCAAGTGTGTATGCGCGCATAGAGCGTGATGATTGGGCGTAAATTCAACCAAATTTAATTACTCATTCACCCGTACACTACCCGTTACTCATCATTTTGATTTGCTCTTTAGGATTGTTTTCATGTGGTTTGCGGTGGTGTTGAGGAAACAACCGAATTGTTGAAATTGAAATTTGACTACATATTCTATACGGGATCGACACGCGTTGGAAAAATTGTTCATGCGGCAGCCAATCGTTATTTGACGCCATGCACTTTGGAATTGGGCGGCAAATCACCCGTTTATATTGATGGCACTGTTAACATTGAAATGGCCACAAAACGAATACTTTGGGGAAAATTAATGAACCTTGGCCAAACATGTATTGCACCCGATTATGTGCTCTGCACAAAAGCCGTTCAAGAACAAATTGTTGAATGCACCCGCAAATTACTCAAAGATTTCTACGGTGATGATCTTCAACAAACCCCAGACCTCTGCCGTATCATTAATCCAGCCAATTTTGCGTAAGTGTTTATTTTCATCTTATGAAAATGTCGACTGAATTTGAGACTTGAATTTTTTTTTAAATAATTTTTCTTCTTGCATTCATTGAAGAAAAAAAGCCTAACATAATTCTCTTCATTGCAGGCGTATTTTAAAGATGTTGAAAGGAGCCGATATTGCTATCGGAGGCAACACAAATGCAGACGAAAAATTCATTGAGCCAACTGTTTTGGTGAATGTCAAGCAAACCGATCCAGTTATGCAGGAAGAGATTTTCGGACCACTTTTACCCATTATGACCGTTGAGAATGCATTCGATGCTATTCAGATCATTAATTCTGGGTACATTTAAATACAATTTTGCTAAACGATCAATTTTAACGAATTTTCTTTCTTTTCGCGATAGTGAATTACCGTTGGTGTTGTACGTGTTCTCAACGGATTCTAAAATCCAAGAGTTGTTCTGCAAACATACCAGATCGGGCAGCATGTGCATCAATGACACAGTAATGCAGTATGTTGGTAAGAATGAGTGATTGGAATTGTTACTGAACTTTGAAATAATCCTCTTTTCAAACATTCCTTATCTTCAGTTGAAGCATTACCATTCGGTGGTGTTGGAATGAGTGGAATGGGAGCTTACCATGGACAAGCATCATTTGATACGTTTACTCATAAAAAATCGTGTTTGGTTAAGAGTATGAGCTCGATTGCTGAGTTTTTGTCATCGTAAGTGTCAGCTCGTCATGGAGCAAATCGAAATCAAATTTAAAATTGTTTAATATCGAACAGTTTTATTCTTGGTTTGTATTTACCCGTCTTGATGGTTTTCATTTATCCTCACCTTAAATTCAATCATTTTCTTTCCAATTTTTTTTTTTTAATACAATTCCAATTGTCATTCATTTCAGGGCCCGTTATCCACCATATTCGGAACGCAAAACGAATTTGTTGGTATTTTTGTTGAAGAAACGCTACAGCATATCGTCAAAATACTTGGGTTATATGGCTCTATTTGGGCTGGGTGCGGCGAGCGCTTTCTTGTACAATAAATACTTCAAGGTATAAACAAATCGGTTGGTGAATGGCATAAAATGCATTCAATTTTATTGCATGCAAAGGATATATAGCTGCGCGAATTTGGTTCATAGACATATTTTAATTGAATGATATTTCTTTTTCTTATCTGGTGTTGTTTCTTCCCTCTTTTCCATCATTTTATTCAAAATTGAAAAACAAATTCTTTGAATCGATTCCTCATCACAAACACACACGCTCAATCGGGACTCACTTGCACACAAACACTCCGAAAAAAAAAAACAATTAATCATGCACATTCAATCACATTCACACATTCATTCGTATAAAATAGAACACTCTCAAACGGCGATAGCTGATATACCACTCGTCCCCTACATACTCATCCACAACCGCGATTTGTTTTTAAATTATCCAAAAGCAGTCTTGACAGTTTCCAATGCCTCAAAATAAAACATAAACAAATCTATTTCCAACATTGTGATCTATTTTTACACTGAAGTTTGTTGTTGAAACAAGTTTCGAAAAGTTTACAAGTTGAAAACTTTTGGCAGAAAATCGCTCAATTCATGTGGAATAGCTAAAAGCGTCGGTTTGGGAATTGCATTGGCATACGAAAGGCAGTATTGATTATTATTATCCAACTTTTACCAAAAACTAACCAAACCGATTGCTGTTGCATTATGTGAAATATGAATTCGCGCAGCTATTTGAAAAAAAGGGCAATTTTCCATTGTAGCCACATGGTTTTCATTTTGAATGGGGCATCAAATGCCGCACATTCTATGGGTATTTTGTAAAATTAAATTAAGCTATATCAACTAATAAAACGTTATTTTCAATGAAACTGTTGTTGTTTTGAAACGTAAACTTTTCGTAATCGACAATAAGGTAAATGGTTTATTTTTTTTTATTTCTGGTTCATGGGCTGAACATTTAAATGGCATTGACATTTGGGAATATACGAATTAAGGACTGGCATCATCGCATGTAGAATCAATTGCATTTTGGGATAAAATTTAATTTGAAATGTTCGCATTAAAACTTATTAATTAAATTGTTTGGGATGAAACTAATTTAAATTGCGGCTTTTGAAATGAAGAAACTAGGATTTTAATTGGGGTAAAATGCTTTTCGATCTTTTTTCTCATTTATTTTGTTGGAAAAAACGTGAAAATGGTTAACATTGAAAATTGTATGGGAATTTCGGTGTTCAGACTGGTTTTTCTCCACTAAAATGAGTCATTTATTCAATTGGTACATTCATTTTGTGGGTTATTTAATTTATGACTAGATTCGGTAGATTAAAAACCATATTGATGCATAACATATTTTTTAGCTAATTCATGTCCATCTTTTGAATTTATCAATCACTGTAGCACATAGACATCAAAATGCACATCGACCAATATCACATCTTAACAAACAAACAAATCTAACTTGGAAATAGTATTGTCAGCGGCACTTTTGAACACTTCCATTCAGTTCAATTACCAAATATAAGCAATGACAATTGTTTTTAATTTAATTAAACGGTTTTTCCCCCAACTTTTCTTCTTTTTCGATTGTATTTCTGTAGGATGAGGCTTAAAAGTTGATGCTATGGAGAGAATGAATCGAGAAAATGAAGATGCGAGCGAGATAATAATGTGGTCGAAACTGTAATCAACTGATTTAAATTTTTTTTTTTTTCAAACAGTCTATTAATTTAATGTGCGTTGTGCGTCTAATTGTGCACCGCACTTAGGGAAAACGATAGATTCTTTTAATAACAATCGACGTTAACTTCTGCGTTCTTTATTTTCCTCGTCGCAAATGGTACGCATCTCCAGGCAGCAGCGTTGTCATCATCATCATCATCATCATCACCGAACGAAATTGAAACACATAAACAAAAATACAGCAATCACACCAATATTTATACATACAACGGACTATGGGCTACAAACAAATTGTTAAAGTCTCTACTATAATTTAATTGAATAGATGGAACAAAGCGAGATCAAACCGTAAATCATTCGGAATTTGTCGTGACATTTCGAAGAACACATCCGAAAACTCTGACGAAATTAATGGCAACATCAGGACTGGTTCTACTAGAAAATTCGTGTTCTTGTGTCAATACGTGTGTGTGTGTGATTGTGTGCCTTAAGCAGAATATCCAAATGTTTTGAACAAAATCAATTTGAAACACACACGCTCACACTCACCCCGACCGAAAAACCAATTGTCGTGTATTTTGCAGATTATTCTCGATACTTTTAAGTGGGTTTAAAGCTGTATGCAAATGAAGAATGTAATTCAACATATTGTTTTTATTATTTTATCTCTTTATACATTAGGCAAATCAATAAAAAAAAAATTCTCAACAAAAAACTCAACAACCCATTGTCTTTTTTTTTTGTTTGAATCGTTTGGGAAAAAAAGAAGTTTTTAATGGAGACTAAAACACACCGCATTTTTTAAATTTTTTTCTTTATTACACTTTTAATGTCATCTAATCTCATATGCTTAAATACTTCACAATACACATTTCACATTTTCATGTAATATTCAACATCAACGCTGTTTGCATACAATTTTCTCGTCATATTTTTGCTTTGTTTGTTTCCAAATATTTCAAGACACTTCATCATTTCTTCTATCTTATCTAAAAAATTTCGTGTTTGGAACGGAAATCTAATTTCGGAATGTCAATGTGAAAATTAATTAGAAATGAAAGTGAATGATTAATTAGAAATGTTTGGAGAAATTTCACTTCGGTTCAGTTCTTCTTGTTGAAATTGAAAAGAAAAGAGAATAATTTCAGTGTTTCTTAATATAAAATTCGTGTCTTCTTCCCTTTTTCTACGTCATTATTCATTCTAATTTTGAGTGCCAGTTAATTTCAGGACATTTTCAACAGTGAATAATTATTAATAATCTATGAAAAACAATGGGACAACATGTAATCCTAACGCGAATATTCTCTCCCACTCATTTGTTGGTTAATACTCTTTTTTTTGTACATTCTGTCTACAATGTCTTTGGTTTATGTTTGTGTTGACGTACTAATTGGAATGAAAAAATATAGATCCCATCGAATTTCCAATGTCCAATCCAGAAAATAGACATCAGATGTTTGGAGAAATCAATTGGACAATCTGTACTGGACGAGAGAGTGACTCTATTATCTTTGTCTGCTTCTCACTCCTTCTGCTGTGTATCATCTAGATTTTCTTGCTATGTATTCCAACGGAATAGGATGGTTCATTTGCAAATGTTTATTCATTACACACAGTTTATGATATCTCTGCGTGAGACTAGCGTAATTCTATTGACAACTATTTTAAATGGTAATTTCATGGTGCAATGTCATTTATGCTGCACTTGACTGTTTCCTACTATATGTACTCATCGGGAGGGACGAGATGATGCAAAGAAGAAGGAACAAATCGATTGAAAGACTAGAAACGAGCAAAATGTATGCGTTTTTCTCTGGCTGAGAGTTTATATATATATAAAAAAAAGGGGCGACGTCGGCCGTGGTGGTGGCATAGCAGAAAATAAAGAAGCACATTTTAAACATACATAGCTCATTAAATGAAATAAAAAGGATGCAAGGGCAAAAAGTATGGCCATCATTTCATATACAGAGAGAGATAAAGGAAATGTTTCATCATACGTCTTGCTTTCGAGTCGCAATTAACCTATTTCCACGCACTGATTACAACCATAAATCTTGCAAATTTTTCAACGTTCATTTTAACAATTTCATAAATCCACTCTTCAACTTCACCTTCTTCTTCTTCTCGTTCAATGTTTTTTTTATTGTCGACTATGTAAATGTGTACGTGCAAATCTTTGGCAATATATTCGTAACACTAATAAATATACAGCAAACTGCTACTACTCCCTCTCTCTCTCTCTCTCTCTCTCTCTCTCTATTTCTCATTCGCTCTTCATACAACACAGACAATTCACTAAGTTTTCTTCACAAAACAAGTACAGGATAACTGAAACGATTCACTTAATTGGATTCTACAGAGAAAAAAAACAAACAAACATCAGCTTTCATCATCACCTTAAACTAATGCATTATTTTTCATTTTTCTCTCCTCACTTTTTTTTCCTTCGGCGAACGACTGTCTATTTTTCTGCTCATAAAGCTAATCAATTGGGTGTTTTTTAGTCTAAAATGTAAGTGGTTTTTTTCCTCTGTGTTTGTGTGTGTTTTTTTTCGGTCAATTTATAAATGATTCTTTGATGGGCTCGAATTGGTTGAAACGTATTTAAACGAATTCTTTCAAGCATATTCATATTCAATTCGAATATAACGCTCAAAACTTAATCAAACCGAGATTCATATTTTCTCTCTCTTTTTCAACTTCTTTTTTTCTCGTTTTGAAAACGTGTAAAAATGACGGATCGGATTTTAAATTCGAATCGAATTGGTTTTATTTTTGGTTTTCATTCGATTTTTGTTTTCGCTTTTGAAATGTCTTCATTTATCACAAATTTTTAGGCAATTTTCAAAGTGATCGACTGCTGCTGATTGCACCTAAAATGAATTTTTCAACTAAAATTGCCTTATTTATCAATTGTTAAAAAAAGAAAACGAAATTAACAACACAGTTTCAATTAGCCTAGACAAATACTTCATTTCACAAACGCCTATCGCTGTTATGGTCTGGCCAATCGCTGTCGCCCAGTGTATTTTTACTATGATCGTATGATTTTCGATCGCTGTCTTTGCCGCTGGCATTCACATCATCACCTTTGGCTTCTTTTCGCATATTGGTGAATCGATCTTTCGTCAATCGCACCAGGTCAATATCACCAACGCCACTGCTGCTCGCCAATGTTGATGGAGATCCAAGCGAATGCGTTGCATATACGTTGCGTTTCTTGGGCGTTGTTGTTGATTTCATATTGTTACCACTGCTATGGCTATGGCCCGGAGTGCTGTGCGCACTTGCAAATGAGTATGTCGGTCTCTGGTAGACACTTTGCCGTTCGAATTTTTGATACAGGTTCGTCGATGCGGTTAAATCATCGAGAGACGATCCATTGTCCGTTGACAGCAAATGATTTGAGGCCGGAGCATTGGAATGCTGCTGCTGTTGCTGTTGCTGTTGCATTGATCGCATATGAATTTCCGGCATATTCTTTGCTCTGATATTGTTTGTTGATGTGTCACGTTTATGTTCAATGCTATCGAAATACCGTGAACTGTACATTGGCATGCGATTGGAACTACATGCTTCTGCATGATCTTTGTACGATGACCGTGATGCTTGCTGTTGCTGCTGCTGTTGCTGCTGCTGTTGCTGCTGCTGTTGCTGATGTTTCATTTCCCGTTGAAAGGCTAAGGCGATTGCATTTGCATCTTCACCGGTGTACGGTGTTGATGGAGTCATTGGTGACACGTCAGTGTATTCCGTTTTTTCCGATTCAGCCGAACAAATACTGTGCCGCGTCAAGTCCTTCGGTAGCGAATGGCTGCTACTGTGATTCCGTGGTGATATTGATGAATAGTGTGGCATATTTGGCGTGAACGTATTCAATTTTTCATAGTCACGACTTGGGAAATGCATTCGAGATCGTGTGAAAATATCGCGACAATTGCTGATTGTCGGTTCATCAGTGTCTGCTGAATAATTTCCAGCTGATGAAGTAATCAGCATATCCTCCATCGATTGATAGCCCGTGTTTTCGACCCCAGTGTTTGGCACATTTTTTAATTTTGCATGCATAAAATTCGACGAACAACTGGGAATATTCTCATGTAATCGACCATTATCTAAACGACCACTAATCGACATATTTTGCGTCGAACTAAATATGTTTTGAACATTTACACGTGATGTCGACTGATTTGATCCGATACTTTTGGCACCGCATTCAATCTTCTTTCGTGCCTTTCGAAAGGGTAACGTATTTGAATGGGTCGAATCACGTTGTGTATCACTGTCCGATAGTGTTGCCGAATCGGTGGAATCTTTGGCTTTGAATGCATTCAATCGATTTTTTATGCGATGATTGGAATGTGTTGGTGTCGCACATATTTGTTCAATTGAATGATGATTTTCACTGACAATTGGCTGTGTACAATCTATACTGTTCAAATTCGTTTGATGCGGTGCGGCTGATATCGGTTGGATAACAACACCCGAATGCTCGGTAATCTGTTGACATTGATTGTAGAGATATCGATTACGGCGCACCGGACTATTTGGATCGGAATACGGTGGCGGTGGACCCCAAATACCAAAATGATGTGGATTATTGATTAACGTGTAGCTTTGCATCATGTTTGAATTATCGAGCCGTGACATATTTGTCGAAAAACCGTATTGCGAATCTGGGCTAGATGGCGTTTGACGGAAACGTTGATTATCAGTTCGTTGCCAGGGAAAGCGTGGCCAACTCCATCCCGGCCGTTGGGTTTGCAACGAATTTTGATTCACCATTCGTGATACGATCAGGTCATCGGCTCCTGCGAATTTCGGTAAATGGAAGAATTGGGTTAGCTTCATTTTAATAAAAATAAAAATAATGAAGATTTTTTTTTTTAAATAATCAAGAGAAAACCTCAATGAGAGTTGCGAATAAAGACCAAAAAGATCATCATGAACAAATTACCTTGTGTATAATATGCGCTGTTTGGTGGTGGTGACCAGAATCGACTGTCGCTATCCCATGAGTAACTGGGTTGCATCATATTCCTGTGTGAATGGCATTGTTCGCAGCATCTACATGGGCCATTCCGTGGAGTTCCAATGATCGACGGTCCATTGCCCAATGGTGGCCATCCCGGCGGGCTTTGTCTACCATAAGCTTGTCGTCGTCGCAATTCCAACTGTTCCCAAATCATTTTCTTTCTCTCATGACTCAGCAATTGATATACCAACATGCCTGAAAATATCACATCATTTACCAATTTCAATTGAAAATCAACGATTCCATTTAAATATTGCATCAATTCCATTTAATTTAAAACTTCTGTTTCAATTAATTTCTCTTTTTTTGTGAATACATTTTTTTCTTCAAAAAACAGTTCTTTGGTCTCAATAAAAAAATGTGCTCATTGAATACTCACAGCTGAAAACGGCAACCAATACACCAGCAACAGAAATTCCGAAAATGGCACGTAAACAGCTGTACAGTGCATTATGCACAACGGTACACTCATCGGCCGAATCAAATACAAATCGATAGCCGCCAACTACAGTGAAAAAAACGAAAATTCAATGAAAAACCATTTAAAAAGACGAAACTGCAACCAGCAAACCAACCAACCAACCAACCAAAAAAAACCTAACCGAATCGAGTTACAATTTAATGAATAATTTGCATGTTTCGTTTCATTTTTAATTAGTCGTATAATTGCGAGACGAGATGCTTACTTTCATCATTTGCACCGAGGTTTCCGTTTTCATCCTGCATTGTATGCGTTTCCACCGAGTAGCACGTACACGTTCGTGTTTTTCTTGTGTATTCGCATTCTCGTAATGCCTGCAATCGGCTCATGTGTATTACAGTTGTTGTAACTGTAGACAAAGCGCACGTCAGCGCCGACGATAAGCCACATGCTCCAGATAATTTGATCTATTTCCATTTTCGTAAATCGCGAGAGACAGAGACATAGGGAAAGAGACAGGGAAATAAAGATATAAAATTGTGTTGCAATGACGCAAATGAATCAACGAGTGAACTAAACACGAGTCACACACACACACACAATTCATACACGGACCGAGCGACCAAACAAGCGAACTAAATGAGAACTTTATGCACACGGGACCAAGAAAACTTAATGTATAATCCGATTTTAGTTTAAAGCTCTCACTTGTTCTCATTTGGTTTCACTCCCGAAAAAGGAGAAACGTTGTCAACTCAATTTTGTCGCATCGGCGCGCATTTTTCTGTTTCTCTACTCTGAATTTCAATCCCATGCAGTGAAAATTGTCATCAATCGAAACGGAATGTGTAAACCTATTTTAGGGATACGATTAAAATATGCATGCAATTTTATACTTACTAAATAACTATAGCGATTTCGTCGTCTAGCTAAGCTTATGATGCACAGTCCGGTCAACATTAACTGCAAATATATTCAAATGAACAAATAAACATAGATTAATGTCTTTTTTACATTTAAAATGAAAAAAATTGTGATTTTTTTTCTTCGCAAGTCAAACGAGAAAATTATTCCATCACGTAAAGTCGATGGATAACATAACGCGATCAAGCATTTTCAAACAAATACGATTCTTTTGCTACCATCTTTCGCCATATCAAAAAGGGGTTTTTCTCTTTAAGATTCCATTAAAAACCATAAAGTGTTGAAACGGGATCAACGGAATACTGCAAAAATACTTTCATGACTCGTGGCAAATATATGAGAAAAAACACGAAAATCGGGAATGGTTAGAAATTTTTTTTTATTCAAATATCGCGGTACTGTGGTTTTTTTTTTCTTTAAAAGTGATCCTAAAGTATCGGCCAATACCATTTTCATATGAATGTAGGCGTTTATAGTGGCCCATTTCAACGTAATTGTGCTTGTGCCTCGTTTTGTGTCAAAATGAGCGAAAATACACAACCGAACAAAAAGTCAATTTAAATATATAATTTTCGTTATCATTGCTATTATTCAATTTTATTTATTAGATAACGATGTAATCGTGCTATTTTGGCCAAGTTTTGCAATGAAAGGTGCCGCAAATTGGAATGTAACCTTCCAGTCTAAAATTCCCGAAAGTTTTTTTTCATGTATACCTTTATCAAGAATAATGACGCTATATTAGTTTTTTTTAAAGAACTTTCTGCCTATTTTCTGGAAAATAAAAAATATTAGTTACTTTATTAGACTAAAACACTTATACGAGCCTTCAGACACGTGTAACGAGCCAGTCTTTGTTACATTGAAAAAATCGAGATCATTTGATGACAGGTTTTTTCTTTGTAAACCAATCCAGAACTGAACACCACAAAGAATGATAACACTTCTATTCTTCTTCTACAAATTTGAATCAATTTCGAGTGTATTATTGCATTTATTTCAACCGTCGATGTACTTTGTAACGATCCAGTCTTTTATGTGTAACCTTCCAGTCCTTTTTTTGATCAGAGAAATCGGAATCGTTTATGACAAATTTCTATTACAAATCGATTCGAAACCAAAAATCATGATAAATTCTCGTATTTCTATTTGTTATCGACTGATTTGAATCTAATTTGAATTTGATATTTGGTTTATTTAGCCCGAGGAATTTTGTGTAACGAGGCAGTCTTTTTTCTGTAACCTTCCAGTCCGTATATTTTGGATCGTAGAGCGAGCCGAATTGATTTTTATGGGGTAAATATGGTTTCGTTCGTTTCTTTGATCCTTCAGACAGCGAACAGAACCTTGGAGTACAAGGATGCTCTGCTGGAGGAACTGGATTTTAGATATATGTAAGATAAACTCCAAACATATCGCCAAAATTGTAACCTTCCAGTCCAACAAAAAAACGGCTATATCTCTATAGGTGTGAGAGATATGGGAAAGGTTTGTTGGTATGAAATGTTCCTTTTGTGGTCTAGATTTTCCTCAGCATAATACTTTAAGTAGTTTCTGGGCTTACAGAAGAGATATGAGCATGAATATTTTGAAAAATCGTGCGAATGTAACCTTCCAGTCTGTGTTTTTGCCCATATATTGTCGCTCGGATTTATTTATTATTTTCTCTCTGTCCGTGTGGTTGTATGTTTTCCATTTCGCTTGTACATTTTATCGATGCGATGAACCTTAAAAAAACCGCACACACGCCGAATGTATTCGATGTTTCATGCAACAACTCCATCATGTTTAAGTGCAAAAACGAAGGTTTTATTCTTTGGTTTCAGTGTGTTTGCTCAACTGTGCGCGTTCTAATTTTCGATTTGAAAAAACGGCTCGAACCAATTGGAAGGTGTCGTATACGAACGATCGAGCGTCCATTTAGTAAATGGGAAACATCGACAACTAACAAAAGCGCACACGCACACCTAGCAGAAAAGTAGAGTGTAAAAGCGAGCAGAAAGAGGCGAAAGTAAACGAAGAGAAAAGTGGAGAAATGAAGCACTTTGCTTAAACGAATATTTACCGTTCCCATGGATTCGTCGTTTTTCTCATCGTTAACGAATTTTCTTATCATTTGTATAATTCGTTATCAATTTGCTTGCTGGCGTGTGTTTGATTTCCAGTGAACGAAAAAGCTTTTTTGTCAACACACGTAGTATGCAGCCGTGTTTGATTTCTCTCTCTCTCTCTCTCTCTCTCTCTCTCTCTCTCTCTCTCTCTCTCTCTCTCTCTCTCTCTCTCTCTCTCTCTCTCTCTCTCTCTCTCTCTCTCTCTCTCTCTCTCTCTCTCTCTCTCTCTCTCTCTCTCTCTCTCTCTCTCTCTCTGCATGTGTGTTTCGTTTTCTCTCTGTATCTTTCTCTATTTCCAAATTTAAATGAATTGAAGTTTTCCAAGCTCGTTTTCGTTTCGCTACTTGCCATTCTCTCATTTCAAAAAAAAATCGCAGTTCATTTATTCTGATTGATGAATGTGCGTTTATTTTACCTTCCTTCGTTCCATACAGCACAAATTTCTAAAGCACTTCCATTCGGATAATTCAGAAGAAGCAGTTTTCAAGAATAAAACCAGAATGATTTCAATGAAAATGGCAATTCGATCCACAAAATTTCATCGCGCGCACACACATGTACACAACCTATTGAAGCCTTCAATTAAAATAGTCGCTGAGTTTCTGTAGTTGCGTGTGATTATTCAAACTAATCAGATCGAAAAAAGAAGAAGAAGAAGAACATGTTCAACCGAAATAAACGGTATTTTATCGGTGTCAATGCCACACCAGCCAGCTCAAGTATGGCACAAAATACAAACATTCTATCGCAAAAAAACAAATAAAACTAAGTACAAATATTTTGCCAGCTATTCACTTTTGTTGCGTATGTGTGTTCGTTGACGTAAATGTGTATTTTTAGTCGGCAAAATGTTTGTTGATTTTGGCATAATGAAAGTGTCTGTGTCGAATGGATTGCGTTTACATCTTGCAACGAAACACTCACATACGTCACACTGAGTGGGTAATATGATCTGCGTAAAAGTAAAAAGAAGCCAGTATTGAAATTCAATTTCAATGAAAGAGTAAAGCCGAAAAAAAAGAGAGAGCGAACAAAATGTACGTGTGAATTTTTCGTTTCGTTTCGTTTTCTGCATCTTATGGGGGCCAACGCTGAAATGTCACGCATGAATAATATGTCAGAATTGACAATCAAAGTGAAGGTCATACGAATAACTAATGCATATTGAGTGATGCTGTCTATCTCTGCTCTTGCATCGATTCCATCGGCTGGCGTCTCGCGCATCCATGGAAACAAAAAGCAATAAACATAACCCGGCACACTCGTTCACAACCAAAAGCAGAGCCGAAAAAAAGAGGAACGAACAAATATTCTATGTATCGACATAAAGAAATATGGGTAATTTTATTTTTCTTCTTTTTTTTCTTCTTTTTTTTCTTCTACTTTTGGTGAATGCTTCTTTTTTCATTGAAGCGCCCTACGGATAAAACTTTTTCCCATAAAGAGTGCGCGCATTGGTACTCTAACGGTGTGGGTCTTCGTTTTTTTTAAATTAATTTTTACATTGAGAAAAAAAGTAAGCAGAAAGACCGAAAGAAATGTATCTCATAATGTATCCATGGTAGAGGTACAGTCGACATAACGCCTGTCATAAAATGTGATTTAGAACTTGGCACACACGCACAAAGTGAGAGAGAGTGAGAGAGAGAGAGAGAGCGAGTGACATAACTATCCATGGATATTTTTTTCGTTGTTTTCTTTTTCGCGCGCGATATCATCATCATCGAACAAATAATCAACAAAGTTTTAATGAATCTCGAGACCAAATCAAAATACAAATATTCACCACCGCAAAACAAATAAGCATAGTGTTTTATTTATTGTTTGATTCTGGCCTGTGTGTGTGTGCGTGCGCGCGTATAACCAACGATTAAAAATGCGTTGTATGTTTGCCAAAGCTTTTGTGTTCGACTAACACTGTTTGTTCGATATGGTTTGCATTCATAATCGTTGCGCGCTTAGAGATTACCGCGATGACCGATACGCCTGAATGGCGCATGTAATGCCATTAAAATGATGTTATCGAAAAATTGATAGCCGTGGAAAAGCACACATCGAACAAGAGCACAAAAACTGGAATGAGTGAGAAAAGCCAGCAGACACGAATACATTTTACCGAGAGGAAGTCCCCAAATGTAATGTGTGCAAATGGCATGAATATGAATGGCAAAACGATAGAATGAAAGAGTGAGAGAGAGGGGCGGTACACGAATAAATAGGTTAAATTTGATAAATTGACATGAATTCACACATTAAAGCTTATTCATTCATAACCATAAATATTCTGACAATTCATTCGTACAATAAACAAATGACTCGTATCTATGATTATTGGCTTTGCGTCGCCCCACATATTCTTTTTTCTCTTATTTTATTCGTTCGATATTTCGTTGCTCTCTGGCAGCTCGTACGCTTTGCCGACTCGCAGTACAAAATCCAATTCATACACTCACATATTTTTTTTGGTTCGGTTTGTGTGTGTGTTATATTTTTTTGCATTTTCAGCTACTTTTCAATTTTCAGCATCATTTCCATTTTTCTTCGTTCCCATTTCCATGATGTGTATCCATTTTTTTTCATCTGACATTATGCATTCCAGAGTCATTTTTTTTGCCTCATCCAACTGTACGGCCAGAAAGAATTGGCCAAATCATAATAAAAACGCTTTGAATAGCAGTTTTCGCACTCAGGTAAAGAAAAAACGGCACAGACCAATCCATCCACTGTTACAAATGTCATATTTTTCACTTTTGAAATGCTTGAAATATGAATTAGATGCGCAAAAAGTGTGAGCTCTTTCTTTCCTCGTTTCTACCATTCATGCATTTCTTTCGTTCAACATAAATAATGAAGGTGAAATTCGGCAATGGTGAAAAATTGATATTAACATTTAACATTCAAGACGGTGAAAAGTGTTTTTTTCTTTTATTCGTCGTATGGCTATTTGCTTCATTTTTCGACTGTTCGTGTATGACAATTCTTTTTTTTCTAGCCATAGCTTGAAGCTTTTCATTCAATTTTTCATACACGAAATGCAGCAACAAAAAAACACCGTTGGTTTAGATTACACAAGTGGTTAGGCCATTAGTAAGTGCAAATAACGGTAATGGTTGTCACTTCTAGTTTGGTATATTTTGTTGATGATGTTGTTGTGCTTTCCTTACATTTTCTACGTGAATTGTGCTTTCGCTCAAGCGGAAAAAAAAGTATTCGCACTAATTAAAAGTTCATTGTTTTCCCATTTTCATTCCAATCATATTGGTGCTTTTCGATGCATCAATCCAAACGAATACCACAAACCGGTGTGCAAAACTCTTCGCAAGCATTAAACACACTCGTTCTCGTGCGCGTGTAAATTCAATGGGAGTTCATTGAATTGGATGTTCGAGTGTATGGTAGCAAAAGAGAAAAAAAAAAATTGAGTGCATCGCTGTAAATTGGATTTTTGAGTTTGATGAATGTGTCGCATGTGCCTGTACCGTTTGAATTAATTTTTTTTCTCTCTGTTTTCAGCGCCTTGTTTGTGCGACAACGTTTCATTGTTTGTGTATGTTTTGCTTTTATCGGAGGCGCATCAACAAAAGCTCCGCTTTTTTTTCCCTAGCGAGATGCACTGATCCTAAAGGCAAAAGAGCGAGGGAAAAATTGGTTTGACAGCAATTTTCTCGCTTGTTGCTTATTAACAAGCAATATGGGGCGCGTATCAGCATGTCAAGCTCAGGAAATGAACTAAATTAAATTACAATCGATACCTATTTGCTAGTTTAAACCAACGAACGTCATTGCAGCAGAGAGCGAGCGGGAAAAAAAATTGAATAAAACTGTTGCAAAATGCAGTGCAGCGTATCGAACGAGCCATCTCTTTGTGCATATCATCAATGGACGCATTTTTTTTATCTCTCATTTGCTCTCCTTTTCACTCGCTTGCCCCACTCTCTGTATCGAAACGAGAGAGTGGCGTACATAAGACACGGAAATCATCATGGGATCTAATAAATACTTAAGCGACGCTGCCAATATATTCAAAGCGTAACTAGTTTCGCCTGAAATCAAATTCTAATTTTTTTTCTGAGCTACCATGCAACTGAAGTGGCTGTAAGCCAATGTCGACAACGTAGAAGAACGAGCACATTTCTGCAGCGTTGAACATTCTAGTTCGGATTTTTTTTGGTTAACTACCATGAAGTTAAAGGATACGAAATGAATTGAGAAAATTAAATTGATAAATATTCGGAAGCACAAATGCAGCCATAGCCGTGGTTGTATCGCGATAACATCAATAACAACAACAACGTCGTCATTTGTGTTGAATTGCGTAGCACAGGAAGAAAAGAAAATGATCAAGTCTATTTATGTTTGTGTTCATTGTCGTCGCAAGCGACAAAAGTTATTGCGTTGGGGGCTCGAATAGAAATGAGTAAAGCGAGAAAGTATGGCGTAATTCAACGTGTCTTTGCGTCGACGTTTGACTGTTGTAGCACAATATAATCGATGTCATTCACATAATACTTGGGTTAACAGTCGACCGACCGACCGACCGACAGCGGCAAGCATCGCGACTCTTTCACTCGTACAATTATGGTTTCATTACTATGTACTTCTTCACTTCTCTTTTTTTTCTTTTCCTGCTCTTTTCTCTCTTTTTTTCTGCATTTCATTTGACTATACGCCACTAACGGCTGCATTTGACGTGTTCCCGAATTGGAACAATAAAAACCACGTTCGTTCGTTGCCTTTATTTTTTGATTAAAACTGCAAAAATGAAAAAGCCATACAAATCCAAAATACAATAAATAGACGTCTAAACAAAGCGCTTGCTTTATCATTTCCATCGTCGGATCTCCGCGCGTGCTCACACAAAAAAAAGGATAAATCAGATGACATGGGAGTAAAAGAAATGTAGGGAAAAAAAGCCAAAGGAATCACAATTCATTGAATTAAAAATAAACTGGCGCGCACGTTTATTCAAAATAAATAACAAACATTGTGCTGCCGACTGAGTGTATGTTCGTATGCATTGTTGTACCTGCACACGATTTATGTTATATTTGTGGCGAAAATGCTTTTTGTTCGGCAAATGTGAGCCGGGCCGGGCAAATAAACTTTCGCCCGTTCATAAATCCATTAAATTCGAAAGTTATACGTCCTACGGTTTTATTTGAGGGAAAAAAGTAGTAGCAGCAGTAGTACCATCGCCCAATGCCAAATGTGAATGTGAATGTGAATGTGTTACGTGAGTGGGGCTGATTTGAAAGGTGAAATAAATGCCGATCGTAAAAATGACGCTATTGCCATTGCTTTAGCCACTTTCTCCCCCGCTCGTGCACTCCATATGCCGGCATATTTAAACATATGATACATGTCGCAAATGCTATTGTCATCACAAATACGGTTGTTGCTGATTGTTTGGCATATCGAACAGGAAACGTGCATATTTCTCGGTATCACGCGCCAACAATCCATACTCTATGAACACACATTATACTGCCATCAAGCAGAATATATGTAACCAATTCAAATGGAACATTGAACAGAATGAGAAAAAATAGCATTCTGATTTGTGCTGTATGTGCTGAATATGAACTGTGTGGGCTGCTCTTTTTTTTGTACGATGTCTCTCTCTCCCTCTCTTTCTGCCTTGCCACACATCGCAAATGATTTATCTATAAATATTTAAATTACACGGAGTTTGTTTTGGAAAATTTCACTTGTGATTCAGCTTAACCCTCTAATGCATATATTTTATACAGAGCTGGGAATTTTTTTCCATGCTTATTTTACCTCATAAGCACTTAAAAAAATATTCATAATCTGGTATAATGCTGGAATTATCAATAAATCGCAAAAATCAAAATGTTCTTATAAGTACAGTCATGCATTTACGACCAATATGGAAATTGCGAAGTATATGAACAAACCGAATTTGCATAGCTGTACTTATAAGAACAGCTTGCAAATTGAGTGATGTTGACATCGGAATTCGTGAATATCATTTTTTCTGGATTATTTGTGATAAAAATAGGTTAAAATAAAATGAAAATAAAATTCCACACTAAACCAAGCACACAAAATATCAAACAAAAAGAAATCCAAATTGCATGGCTGTAGTTATAAGAACAGTATGCAAATTGACGGACAAATGTTGCACAATTGTAAAAAATCATTGAACTTGAATTGAATTTGGTTAAAAACACTCCAAATAAGCAGAAAAAAATTCCTGAGGTCAACAAAATAATTTTATTCGATTTAATCACGTTTCAAAAACAGGACACGAAACGAAAATAATTTATTTTTACGGAAACGTCGTTTTCTTGTACAAATGTTGTCATAACTTGACACTGGTTGACCGCACACAAAATTTTTATGAGAAAGAAATGTGCGCTAGTGTTCTCCAACGAAAACTGTCATACATTATTTTGTGACATAATCAATGATTCGCATTATAGAAAGGTTTAAATGAACCAACCTTATAAGTTCACGTATGCACTAGAGGGTTAATTGGATTAAATTACCCGAATGGAGAGAGACGAATGAAAAAAAAACAGCACACAAAACGCGTCACATTTTCATCTGGCGCGCCAGGGAAAATATTAAAACCCCTTTACGTGATTTATTCATGCCATCAAATTAAAATGCATTGTTTCGTCCGTAATTCAGATGGAAATATTGAAATGAACAAGAAGACGACGGCTTTTCAAAACAATATGCTTACACAATTTTCTGAATTGAACTAATGAACTGGAATGCAATTTAACGATTTTAAGCAACAATAACACGCATTTTATTAACAATAACAGGCAGCCCATCATCACCCTCCAGCGCTGGAATTCTAAGTCATTCCACCAAAATCGTTCGGAATTATTTTTTTCGTACATAAGACCATATTAGAGTGAAAGAGAGAGATTCCACTATTTTTCAGCGTGCCGCCGGAATTATTTCTCACACAATCCACTCTTCTTTGTTTTATCGGAATAATTCCGGTGGTACACACCAATATTAAATGGAGAATCTGTCACCTTGATATGTGGTAATATAGCGGTTTACCCGATGTAGAGGGGAATGTAACCTCAAACTGGATTAATTCCTATATAAATATATGGCGCTCTCTCCGCCATATATTTATGTAGAGATTCATCCAGTTTGAGGTTAAATTCCCCTCTACATCGGGTAAACCGCTATATTACCACATATCAAGGTGACAGATTCTCCATTTAATATGACAGTGTACGCTGAAAAATAGTGGAATCTCTCTCTTTCACTCCAATATGGTCTTATGTACGAAAAAAATAATTCCGAACGATTTTTGCGGAATGACTTAGAATTCCAGCTCGGATAACGAAAATCCAGTATGCATTTTAATCACTGTGTGTCATATTAATTAGAAGCTTAGAATTCCCCATCATGTGATTATAACAAATGGCATCGCATTATCTTTTTGTGAATCGATTCATTGAACAGTGCTGGTGACGCCGGCGGCGTGGTGGTGGTGGTTGGTGGTGATGATGATGATGCTGGCGATTATCGAATAGGACGAGCGGTTTATGTTGTATGCAAATGTGTGTGTGTGTGTGTAGCTGTGGATACCATCGAAATCTTTTTCGATCGCAATGCATTGTCTGCAGACATGAATGAAAACTGCTTTTTGCTGCCATTGCTTACAATTGAAATTCCTGTAATTCCATCGAAATGAAGAAATATTATTGCATGACGTGACATCGAAAGATAGAAGATTGCCATAGCATTGATGTGCACAGAACTCGAACAGAGAGAAAGCGGAGGATGAAGGAAAGACGGCAGTGTCCCGGCGAAAATAAAAAGGAGATAGAGGCAAAATTGATCAACGCAAAATGCATCAAAAATCTAAAATTTATGAACGAAACTTCACGTTTTCCATCAGGATTCGGTGCGGTGTGTCACTATTACTGATTCCGTTGGTGCCGTTGCCATTTGTTGTTGTTGTTTTTTTTCGGTCTCTCTCCAAATGGAACTCTGCAATATTGATATGAGCAATGTTTCCTTCCACATAAAATATGCAACCAAGTATATCGATTACAGTTTGTGTACGTGAATTGGTCTCTCTTATGATGACGTATTGAAATCATATAAAATGCACACATGAGAAAAAGCGAGATTGTTTGTTTGCAATCAGCGCCCAAATTTGTGAAAAGCAGCAAAAGTGTTGAAATTCGCTTCGAAAGTACGGCCAAAAAAGAGGGTCAACAAGAGAAAGAAAAACGACCAGCACAATGTGAAAGTTATTTCGCAAGAAATGAGAATATTGCCTTTTCCAAGCATACACCCTTTACGCCTCTATCACTGCCTTCGTTTGGTGAATATTTTAGATACATTTCTATCGAAATCCATGGATTGAACATTAAATCATTTGTGCATAAGTTTTGATAAATAAAAACGAAAGAGAAAACTTTTCACGAGAAAACCAAACTACAAAACCAATTTTGGAGGAGTTAAGCAAAGGCTTTAATCTCGATCAAAGTAGTATAAATTGAAGCCACACGATGAAATAAGTTCTTCAATTTAGTAGTTGTTCAAATATGCCATGCGATTTCTTTTTTCTTTCATTTCATTTTGGTTTTTAAATTAGAAATTATGAATGTCTATGCTGGTATGAATAGAAGGACGAGTCATTTTGATGGCAATTGATGTGGTTTTTTATGCATATTTGACATGCATCAGTGTGGAAAAAGCAACGGTTTCACCTATTAAATGATAAACATGAGTGGAAAAAAAATTACCAGAAGAAACTACTAGAACTATAAAACTGGAACATTTTGCAGCGCCGCTGAGCATAGACAAAGTTTGAAATAAACATCAACTCTCCCTCACATACACGGATGCAGCACAGCAATGTTTGCAATATTTTTTTTGTTACGTTGTTGTCGAAATATTTAAACGTGTTCATTCTGCTCAAAACGATGGGCGACCACATCATGGAGCTGTGTTTTGATTGGAAAGTAGTTTTTTTGCACCGAGCTTAAGCACATTTTTAATGGGTACAACTCATCACATTATGTGATTCACATACACACACACACACATACACCTACAACATTGCCCTTTACACTCACATATCCAATCTTCTTTTTTTTCACAATTTGCATCTTCTTGGGCATCTCCATTTTAAATAGCACATCTCTGACATGTTAACAAAATAAATGAGAACGAGCTAAATTATTAATTATGTATCTATCATCGTTTGAATTTGTTGCATAAACTTTTGTCGCTTTCTTTTGGTAACTAAAATAAAATTTTTCTTCTTTCATTTCAGATTAAATGCACGTGCGAGTTCGATCTAGAAGAGATTATACGAAAATGAGCGGAAGAGGAGAAAAAGGAATGGAGTGGGAATAAATGAAACGCTTCTGACTTTCAAATTGGAATATTCATTTTAGTGGAAAAACGGAAAAACGAAGAAAAATTGTTTCGCATCAAATCCAAAAGTTGAATTTATTCATTTTATTAAGGTAGAAAACAAGGAGTCGGAATACCAGAGAGTAATAAACATCATTTCATTTGTCATTTTCTGACTCTCAAACGACTCTCTTCCTTTTGCTCTCATCCAAGGCACCAAGGCTGCAATAATAGGGCAAAAAAAATGCTTTGTGCTTGTTTAAGCGTCTCGATTCAGGTAGTTCGATGAACACATTCAACCCTCTGGTTGTTATCATCGTCGTTGTCGTCGGTTGGGCTTAGTTTTGCATAATTTATTTGCATTTCATCGCATTTATTTGAAAATCATGTTTCATAATTGCTTTTCAGTTCAGAATATCCAACCATATTTTTTTCGCTCAATCTCAGCATCAGAACTCTCTTCAGAGCACAGAAAAAAACCACGAGAAAAAAGAGTAACACGCACAGGCACATCCATGATGAAGTTTTTCCCTTTATCGTGTGCAACAAACGTTCGGTTGGTTAGAGATGGGTAAACTTTAAAAGTGGCATTTAAAACGTGTTGCATTCGAAAAAGCGAACAAACAAAAACGACATTTTCGCCAAACTTAACCAAACACTTTCGCATTTTCTCTTTCTATTTGCTTTGCACCGAATGGGATTCGAATTCGGTTCATTTAACAGATTCACATTTCATTTTAGTTCTCGGTTTATTGTGAAAAATCTGCTCCGATTGAAGCCATGTTTTTAATCAAATTCCCCAAAATGTTGATTGTTTCCATAGCAAATGAATGCTAGACATTGTTAAATATGCAGCAGCAGAGAGAAAGACAGAGAGAGCGTTCTTTATTGTGTTAGGTAAAACTATGCCATTTATTTAATAAGACAAAATGTCCCGATATTTGGAGTACGCCACACACACATATAGACACATACACCAGAAACCATATAGTCCTCATCCATATTCCATGAGTGTGCAATGCATAAAGCATGCAAAAATCATCGTTCTATATAGAATTTGTGTGAAAATTTCGAATAAGTACGGCTACTGAACGAGTATAAGAAGCGGAAAGGCGATTAGATATTATAACGTATGTATGAGCACATCTCCTTATGCTATCATACGGGATTAATATCGTCTCGTTCTGTGTGTATGTGTGTCTGTCTGTCTCTCTTTCTCTCAAACACTCTTCCTTTGTGGTGCATGAGCAAATGCAATTCGGATTCCATTTGATAAAATATGTCACAGGCACTCCAAACGATAATATGCTGGTTGTGCAAAAACGACTGGAAAATCCGGTCTCTCCATTTTTTTTCCTCTTCTCTCTTCTTTTTTTTCATACTGAAATGGTTTCGACATTCCGGACAAATGATCCAGAGTTCGATGTGCAAATAAGATACCCGGTTGAATATACACATACCATTTAATGGACCAAGATGTTTAACGCAATTTCCCAGATTTCATTGTGAACCATTTCTTGTTTGATTATCAATGAAATTATCTCATTTGCACGCTATTTGCTTCTTCAGCAATATTCATTTTCGAGAATGTTATTTCCGTTTATTTTCTTCTTCGATAATGTTCACATCGGAAAATGCTACCGAGCATATGCTGCCTAAATGTTAACCATTTTAATGGCGAAAAAAACAACAACTTTCCAACCCAAGCGAAAAAAATTCGATCGATCGAAACGTTGTTTCGACGACCCAAAGAAAGAAAAGAAAAGAAATGGCAATAGATGCATTAGCAGCGAATTAGAAATTAATTTAATGATTTGGCGCGAATGCCAAAATTTCACGAGTGAACGAGTTAAAAAAAAAGCGATGAAACTACTTACCAAAGTGGCGGGAACAAATGTTGGAACTGTTTCAAAGTAGCCTATCGTGCTTGTATACGATCGCACCAAAAAATACACGCCGAGGAACATAGTGCCAAGTAGACATGATAGACCGCCGCATATTAAGCACCAAACAACATATTTTCGAATGCCAGCTCGCGGTGACACTAAGAGAGAGGCGAAGATTCGATGTGGAATAGAGAGAAAAAGAGTGAGATAAAACAATGAAACCAAAATGGAAAATGATAAAATGCAAATCGCATAGCAGGCGGAATATATAGACATATATACCAAACGACGATGAAAAAGAAAATGATTGTAAAATGTTGTAAAATCCATGCAGAAGGAAAAAAAAACAAATCCCAAGACCGTCATAAGCATGCATTGCATAAAGATGGATTGTTTCCTTTACTTTTCGTATTCGTTTTTTTTATGTTCGGTCGCTTTGTTGTCATCGTTTTGTGTGCAAAGACATTTATCGAAGTGCTCAAGCGAATGCTCGAAAGATTTCTGGGACAAAAATGTAAATCCAACCGAAAAATGCAGCAAGCAATGAAAAAGAAAACCTAATGGCAGCCAAAAGAGATAGTGATAGAGAAATCAAAGCGCCAGCATTCATCGGAACTGAAGAAATATTTTCAAGTCGGACGACAGCAACCGAAAAAAAATGAAATATAACATAGTAATAGCATAATTGGCAAAGGCCATAAGAGACGCGAAGCGACGCAAACATACTGGAATATTAACCCATTAACGCATTGAAAACCCCGAGCATCACAAGGTATACTTTGACAATTTTTTCACATCATACTACCTCATGTGTCTGGTGAATGAAAAACGATTATGTGCAACGGGAACTGTACGCAAACAACTGAAGCGTGGAGAGACTGATTTCGTGCTCGATACTACAAACAAGATTTTGATGCGTCGTTGGTCAGACAACAAAGATGTTACTCTTTGTACAAACATCGATCAATTGACTAGATAAATCTTCTCGAATAGGAAAATATCCCGTTATTTACTTTCTGAATAAAAAACACTATATGTGAAATTACTTGACTTCATTTCTTTTCGCGGCTATGAAATCCATACTGACGATATTTTTCGACCTGTCCTAGTGGTCATGCACACAACACACGTTGAGCGGTCAATATATACACACACTACAGACACGCTATCAAAGGATTTATACGGTTTGCGCGAAAGGCTACTTGATTTTCGGCCATGCATACGCTTATGTGATTGAAATCTTCAACTATCACCACAAGCGTCGTGTCAATAGAGCTCGTCTTATGTTTACATTGGAAATACGTGTTATTGTTGTTGTAGCTTCGTCGCCGTGTTTCTCTCATATCTTTGATATCTCTTTTTTCGTTTTTTCAGTCAAAGTTCTTTGAAATTGGTAATTTTTCAACTACTAATAATGTAAAAATGACATTTTTTCAATGAAAATTCAAAAAAAAAACGTGTCAACAAAATATCTGTTAAATGGCGCCCAGCGTCTTATTTTTAGGACAGAAGTTTTTGGTCATTTTCCCGGGTTCTGGACACCATAATTCAAATCTGACGAAATATTTGATTTTCTTTAACCAAAAGTAACTTCGATTTGAAATATTATCAAAAAATTCGAAGAAAAAAAATTGGCTTGGGCGTTAATGGGTTAAAACAATATGCATGGAAGCGTATAAATTGTTTGAACTAACATATTTTGAGCTAGAGAGAGTGTGTGTATGTGTATGAGTGCGCCTTTTTCGCATTTCGGGCGATTTTTTTTTCTCGCTTTTTTTGCGAAATATTTTAGCGCTTTTAAACTATTTTGCTAATGCTGCTTGCTTTCTATTGTGTTGACATGAAATGGGTCGGAGAGGAGAAATGTGTATGCAAAAGAGAAAGAAATTCAGTATGTAAATGCGTGCCTGCTACTTTTTATTCTTACTTGATGGTGAGCAAAAGTACGGGACACATGAACAAACAGGAAAAAACACCAACTCACACATGCATATTTACCGCTGCCGCGCGCTCAAAACGACACAAAATTTAATATTTCAGAGTTTGAGCGGAAGTACCATCGAAAAACAGCGCGACAATGCCACAAAACGATAACAACAGCAGCAGCAGCAGCAGCAGCAGCAGCAGCAGCAGCAGCAGCAGCAGCAACAACAACAACGACAACGGAAAATAAAAGGAAGACGAAAATACAACAACGAAAATAGCAAGAAAAGAAGCTGAACGAAAGAAGAAAAAAAATTGCACACGATATTCGAATACTGTGCCATTTATCACGATTAATATGCCAATATATTCAACTCAATGTGCGCACTTACGTACTCTCTATCTCCCTCTAACCTCTACGCTCTCTCATTTACAAACTAGCTGTGTGGAGTGTGTAACGAAAGCGTTTTTGGGCAAAATGAAAAAGCGAGCAAGAGATAGCGATTGAGTGAGTGAATATGAGTTGGGAAATTTGTCGAGAACGAGCGCCAAGCGCTTTTTCAACCATTCGTTTTTCCAGATGAAAGAGAGAACGAGACGAGCAAGAGTCTATTTGCAGGTTGCTGCTGCTGCTGCTGTTGCTGCCGAGCATTTCGTAGTGCATGTGTGCAATAGGATACAATTGATGCACTTGCCATTGCATGCTTTGCATATTCAAAACACATCACATTGTCACACCACACATCGTCGTGCACATTCATACACCGACAAATGAAATGCAAAGTCACATTTTTCTCTCTCCATAGGTTCGTTTGGTTGTGTCCTTTCTCTCTGATTTGCATTAGCCTTGTCTCACTCTCGCTCCGACTCACTTTTGCTCGTTCCTACGGCTTCAAATTACAATACATGACAAAAACGGAAGATATATTGCAGGGCTGCAGCCCATTAAAATTCGCACCGGAAAAACTAACAACCAAAATTTTTTTTTTAAATATATATATTTCTGTATAGGAACGACATGCTTAGAAAAAAAAAATAAACGTAAAGTAATATTTGAAAACCAAATCGTTGCAACACAAAAAGAAAGAGAGAGAGAGAGTGAGAAAGAGAAAATTAAGCAACGCACTTGGCCTAACAACAAAATTTCAATATACACACAACGCCACAATTACACGGCCAACAACAAAAACAATGCAGTCAAGTGCATGGTTACATGCACAGGACTGCAATTAAATATATCAAATAAATTGGGTTCTCTCTCTCTCTCTTCCTCTCTCTCGCTACTGTATGTGAGTATGCAAGTGCATGCATTTTTTTTGTGGTCGTAGTTGTTGTTGTAGTTTTTTGATAGAGTAATATTGTAAAATACCAGATGTTGGCTGCGATGAACGATGCGAATCGACTGGTGGTGGCCAAGAGCATGGCGGAACGCTGTATTGAACTACTTGCATCACAGGATAGCCATGCATGTTGTTTGTACACTACTTTGTCGCCTCTGCTGCTAGTGCTTCTTCTTCTTCTTCTTCTTCTTCTACAAGTACTTTGTTCTATACTTTAATTTGATTGCTTTGCCGCTCTGTCTTCACAGTGCTTTTCTTTTACTTTTCTTTCCCAGGTTCTTCTCTGTCTCGTCTCGTATGCGTGTGTATATATGGTTCGTTGTTATTTTTTCTTTAAATTCTGCTTCTTTGTTATGTAACTTCCAGCACTCCAATTGTAATTAAGAAATGTCGTCACGCGTTTTCTCCTTTACAAACCGAGCAGAAGAAGAAAAAGAAAACAAGATAGAAATAAGTGAAAAAAAAACTCATGAAGACAAAATGTTAATTTTGCACTTGTATTTTCTACATGAATAAGCACGGCTTCTCATTTAATTTAATGCTGTGTTGTTCTCGCTATACACATTGCAAATTCGATACACGCAGCGAGAAATAATCAACAATTCACTTTCTCATTCTCTTTCACTCAGTTTACTTGAGCTACTGTGCGGTTTTCATCCGAAAATACTAAACTCCATGATGGTATTATTATTGTTGGTGTTGTTATCATAATGTTTTGCCTTTATCGTAATCTCCAGTAAATAAAAAATCTACCATATGAATTTTTCTGGGGTTGTGAATTTAATACGCGCGTTCTTTTCTTCATTCGTTCTGGTTTAGCAAAAGCTAAAGAGAGAAAAAAATATGCGGATGTTTGTTCATTTTGCCTTGAACTTTTTGTCAATAATTCTTCGTACGAATTTCAATCCCAACGGTTGGTCTTTTCCCATTCACTTTTTCCCAATGAATTTGATCGCAAGAATTTCATCAAGTATGCGCGTTCCATTTTCAACCCCATTCTGACTTCCGTCAAACAAGACAGATAGCATCAGCGAAAATTGTTCACGTTCGAGCTCATTTATGATATAGAAACATACCAGAGCACAGCACAGCACAATAGAAGATCGGAAGCGTTTTCTCTCTCTCTCTCTACCTTTCCCTCGTTGTGTGCATCGCAATTGGCAAAACACACGTCAATACACATGTCATGTACAGCGCACCGAACCGTAAAATGAATGTGCACAAACGGATTGAACTTTGAGCCTGCGAATGGAACCATTTAACATAAACGTACACACGTTATGAATTCAGTGAGCGGTTTATTAAATATATCGAAATATTTATTAATGCGTTGCAATGCAAAAACCACAGCGCAAAATGTAATTCAGTTTAGACGTTGACGTGTTGTGTATGTGGTACACACAGGGAGAGAGAAAAATAGAGTGATACATAGACACACGCGGCGAATGACATTGTAATTTCATCATTGAATCTAATCTACGATCAAAAATGTTTAATTGGATGCTATCGTACATCATACTTTCCGAGAGAAATAAAAATGGAAGCCAAATGGAAAATGCTTGGTTTTCGTGTACGATGGGCGATACGAGCACCCCACACAATTACGATTTGTGTACACAAAACGCATTTAATAGATTAAATTTTTAATTTGATTGTAAACCGAAATTAGTATGCTAAATGACAAACTGAGGATTTTCCATCGCGTTTTGTGCAAAAGCAAAACGATGATGACAGCGCATTTTGAGCGAGAAATAAGGACGAGGAAGGGAATGCAAAGTGAAAAAGGGAGAAAAAGGAAGATAAGTTATTCCGACATTCTGAAATTCGAAAGCTCTTCTGTCAGCAACCCATTCGCATTGCGAATGTAGTGTGTGAGTGGCGAAGTGTTTGGCGAATGGAAAGAAAGCAAATGGCCCTGCTTGCTTTTCTTTTCTTCTTTTCGTCATCAGTCTCGCAATTCGATGGTACATCAACGTGACATGACAAGTGCTTCTGTGTACCATCATTAGATCGCATTCAAAGCGAGAATGCGTCTGTAAGAACGTCACAAGCACTTCCTTAATATAGCACAATATTTCATTGTATTCCATATTCGAGCCACATTTAATGTATCCTTGGATTACGGCACCAAAGGACTCAACGACTACTGACAGCAGGCATCTCCCTCGGTTGTCATGTGTCTCCTTTCTGTGTCTCTCCTCTCTCTCTCTCTCTCGTTCGCACTCACCTCGCATACCCTCGCTCGCTCACTCACTCGCATCCCATTCTGACGATATTTCAATTTAATGTTATTTATTTTCATGTAGTTCAAGCGTTGCATTTACGTTATTACTGAACTGAAAATGCTTGCTTGTTCGTGCGATAAAACATGAGATTGAAATTGGGGGGCACGTGTCTGCTTCACATTTCGGTAACTGTTTCGTAAATACACAGCACACATGAGAGAAAGAAAATACAATGGGAAATTCAATGTTTAAAATGTGCAAAATGCACTTTATCAAATTGTTTCGCATTCGGCACGCATGTGAGTCATCTTATGAATTCGTATTTTGAGCTGAGCTTAAGAAAACGCCTCATGTGTGTGTCTTTCTTTCTCTGTGTATGGCAAAATTGGTAAGCAAATAAAACGGAGGGTAGCACAAATAAATAGCGAATTGTCTTCAAGGGATGCAAAAAATAAATACCGATGAATCCACATTCGTATTCAATTCATATTTTCTTTCTGTGATTGTATGTCTATTTAGTTCAGTCCGAGCATCAATTTATTTGGGCATTGATATTGTATGTATCCGCTATCCAATTCCATTCGATTCCATTCGATTGTTAACGTTTGCTTCAACCAAAAACACAATTTCCACAATGGTTTCGCTTTTATTTGCACAAAATAACACCGTGAATCGTTTGAGAGACAGATATATGTATATGTAATGGTAATAACTTTTATTTGTAATTGAGCCGTTTGATTGGCATTCCCATTTTCATTGGTGGAGAATAAATGATGCGGCAATTGATTGATAGTGTATCAATATCAGAGGCTTTATTTGGGCTGCAACGCGCATCCATATTTTTTGCAGTAGCAACATTCAAACAATGCCAACCGATGTATAATACATCGTCACAATACACGCAAATATCACATGGTCAAATTAAACACCAATCGCAAAACGGGAATGACGTCGACTTTCTCTCTATGTCTCTCTCTCTCTCACTTCCTCTCTTCGTCGTTCTCAATTGATTGGTAATGAAAATCCTTAATGGCATTTTCGACCCTGACGCTTTCTCTCATTCTTCGAAACTCCCATTTAATTAATGGACGCTTCGCTTCGGTATTGAAATTTTGCAAATGCTGCAATTCAGTCAGGCATTTCAACTATCGGGTGAATTTTGTCTTGAAAATTGCGAGTTAATGCATTTCGATATAAATTCTATCGGTAGTGAGTGTTTTCATCTCTGCTCTCTTCACATTCAAATCGATCGAAACCTTGTATTCAAGGCTAGTGCTGCTTCCTTGGAAACTCACCTCAAATGAATAACACATTCAAATCGAGTGTGGAATGCAAACAACTATGTATCATGGAATTCGATCATATTTTATGAAGAGACAAAGCATGATTGGGTTGTTCTATCGTTTAATGTACGGTACCTCACCCAATGACAGAGTCTCAAGTGTTTGTCACTCGTTTGCACCAGGCAACCACATATATATTTTATGGTAATTATCACTTGTCGATTTCGATGCTCACTGAACGAGTGACAGAGAGAGAGAGAGAGAGAGAGAGAGAGAGAGAGAGAGAGAGAGAGAAGAGGAAGCTGAACTTCGAACGAATGGGAAGCAACGCGCACGCACACACACACATTTGGTCGGAATGGTTGTGCGAATTATTCAAACTCATCTGCTGAACAACATATCACACAACCAATATGTAAATCTCTTACAATTGGCATCTGAAGGCAAAATGGTAGCAAAACTGACTGAAGAGCAATGCAAATGACTTGATGACTGGTGGAACGCAACAAAAAAAAAAACACACACATACAGGACAAAAAAAATCGGCAAATAAATATAAAACCGAATAGAAATACAGACACTCGCTGTTTCAAGCGCGACGCGACAAAACATTTAAACCAACAAGAGCCATTACGATTGTCATGAATATTTTATAGTATCGTCTTTAGAGATTTTCCTATTTGAACGATATTCTGTCGCTTATTTCACGCTCACTACTTTACCCTCTTTCAATATCATTCCACACTTGTTCTTTGCTTCTCGTCTGTTTTTGTTGTTGTTGTTGTTTTGTTTCATTCCTCGCTTTCAACTCAAATGCCTATTTGATATGGCTTATTCCATTATTATTTCCCTTTTCCTGAGTCGGAACTGTGATAACATCAACACCGCACACAAATGAAACCATCCACATGAAATTGAAACTGATTTTCCAATGCACAGATTTTCTTCTCATTTTTGTTTTCTTTTTTCTACGAAAAAAAGTCTTATTTTTTTATGTTTGGAAAGAAAAATTGCCAAAAATCGCAACAAAAAAATTGATTTAGAACAACACTTTTCGAATCAAAACTAGAAAAACTTGTAAATTAAGATGAGATGCTGATTTTTTATTTTCTTCTATTATTCTGTATGATTTACCTCTCGTGCAGCTTCTGTTTTTCGATGATAATGATGACGCGGAAAACGACGCACACACATTTGCACAGTCTTCGGCTTGCGATGACAATGAAATGTGTTAACGAATATGCACATTGAATCCACACCGAAATTTTATGAGGCAAACGCCACCAGAGCAACGAGAGATGGATGAACGAAAAAAATCTGAACGAAAAAGAATAATACACGACACCAACGACAACGTGAAACGTTTCGATGTTGATTGCTAAAGCGCTTCAATATTTCCTTCGCTGATAATAACGCGAATGGCACAATCCGACGTGTGGATGTTGGTTTCATTGCATACAAGCCATTGCCAAACGAGGCACACATACATGGAAATCAACGTCCCCTATGGCATGGAAATGGCATTGTTGGCGTCAGTGTATGGGTGTTTACATTGCGTATTGCGCGTATCTTTTGCGTCTCTCCATCCACCATCGGGGGAAATATTTCCCATTTATGTTGCTGCCGCTGCTTGGCCACAGCAGACATCCACTTGTTATGAAATGTAAAATAATCTCTTCGTTTTTTCTTCTTTTTTTTATCATCTGCATCGATGATGATATGGAAAGTTTAGAAAAATGTCTTTTGTTACCAAAATGCTTTTAGTATTATTAATTTCGCTTAGAAAAATGACGGAAAAATCAACGATTTTAATGAAACAGCTGCGAAATAGTTGAGAAGCATGCGCGCAAGTTGTGTGATTGTGTGTGTGTGTCTCGTTTACTTGGCATTCTTGCATTGCCCGCCAAATTTTCCTGTATCCACAGCACAAGCAGCATAAATATTGCCTATTACAAATTCATCGCATGGAGAATCGCACACATACAGGCACACATGAAATTTGGAATCGAACATGGAAAAGGACAACAACAAAAGAAGTGTATGTGTGACCGTTTGTCGAGTGGTAAACAGAAGATGGAGCCAATAACAAAATCACACACAGCATTCATTTGAATTATGCCTGTGTAAGGGGTAAAATCTGCGCAAAAATGATCACTTCAAAATGGCTCTATAGCCTATATATCTAGTAGGCCTATGCACTCTTGGCCAACTCATGCTTTCTCCCGCCCTCTCTCTCTTTCTCTCTGTCCATCTATGTCCCTCTCATACTCTTGATACTTGTTATCGTGAAATTTATTGCCATGCAAAAGTTTTGCCAAAAACTTTCACGTAGAGAAAAGAGAGAAGAGAGGCAGAAGATGCCAAAGAGGAAGAGAGGACAAAATATATATCAAAAGCTATTGGGATATAATTCATTGAGAAATCAGACCATTTTCGTTGATTATAGCATTTATAACTGAACTCTTACTGCAAAATCCTATTTAACAGAGAAAAAAAAGTTTTAAATTCTTCTTCTGCTTTTTGCCTGATGATGTACTTTTCTCTCTCTCTCTCCCTCTCTCTCTCTTTTTCGACTCAACGATTCATTAGTTTACAAAAGTTACAACTCTTTTGTGAGTTAGTAGTATACTTGTGTCTCATTTCAATGTAAGTCATAAGTTGATTGAAGTTGTCTGTATACTCTTGACTATAGTCAAATTAAAAACGGAAAACTTCTGGAAATTCATCTCTCCGTTCGTTATCAGTGGGAATTTCTCACTGAAATGAAAAGTTCACTTCGATGGAGAATGGAACACAGAAGAAGAAGAAGAAGTAAAAAGAAACACAGCCGTTACGATAACAAACTGTCTGAATGAAAATGCGAATAATTTCGCTTATTAGCGAGAACAAGGAGTGTGTTTGTGTGTGTGTGTCATCATTTCGGCAAACTTATTCCATTCAACTCAATGTCATTGTATGTATATGAGGCTACGCTTTTTTTGTCGTTGTTGTTGTTTTATATCAAACAATAGAATCGTTCTGTGTTTACCTTTCGCGAACAGAGCCATATGCTTAAACTTCTTCATCATAGCCATGCATTCGATTAAAAGAAAGAGAACGACAGCGACAAAAAAGTCAATTTAGTGCAAACAATATGAAATGAATGCGAGAAACTTCTTATCGCAATCACAGACATTGCATAGAGCCGTCACTCAGGGAAATCACAATTAAATATTGTTCACATTTAGTATAAATGAGTGAAAGACTAAAGACGTGTGTTTGTGTGTCGCACGCGTTCTCAAAATTCATTCACACATCAATGCCAAAAAGGAATTACTTTTTCACAGTGTGTGTCTTTCTCTCTCTCTCTCTCTCTCACTCTTTCGCTCTGTATACGTGTGTACGTTATTTGCATAGCGAGAACGCGGCATCCCTTTTCCCAAGAAGCTTTTCGCTTCTGAGAAAATGAAATATTCCGTTGCCGAAACCGATGTGTCAGATAACATGTGAATTTCACGCCTCTTTTCCACTTTACAAAATCAATCTCAACTCTTTCACACTCACCCACTCTCTCTTGCAAACTTTAAGCCACTGGAAGTTTTAATTTGATGAATTGGGACACATGCAAACAATTGAAACGCCACTTCGGTGTGATTAATTAAAAAGGAGCAAAACTTTCGTTTTTATTACTTCGAAGACGTAAATGCGTGTATGTGTTTCGATCATGTTTCCCGTACCAAATATTCTCTCCCGCTCTTGTTCACGCCACTCGATTGATTTTGCCCCAAAACAAAAGTATATCGGAAGTAAGGTGAAGAAAGAAAAAAAATAAAACCGAAAATATCTCACGATTACCATCTTCAGTGGCTCTCTCCACTCATTGTAACGGTTGCGGTTTATTTTACTTCATTCTCATATTTATTTGATGGCAACCGACTACTTACCATTTCTAATTGATTCGATTGAAGTATAAAACATTTCCCACACATTCATTAAACTCATTAGACCCAACGATGATGGCTATTGTTTCACATCCTATTATTGACCGCCGCAAATTAGAAGAAACCAAATTTTATTAACTGAAATAAATGAGTGATTTTGATGATTTCACATCAACATTTGCTTGATTCAACTGCACATTTTTCATTTATTTTCTTCATGAGCGTCAATTTTTGAATTGTTTTTCTTTGAAATTTGTGACCGAGAAATTTTGAACGATTTAACTATGAAAATTGAACTACTTCAAGATCCATTGGCTGATATCAACGTCAAGAATTTGAAATAAATATATAAATCTTTGTTAAAATAATGCCATCAAGACGAGACGCTACCGATGTTCACACGATGATTCGATAAAATTCGTGGGATTCAAGTGTGAGGCTGATGAATGTGACGCATTTCACACGGAAGATTGATATTAAGCGACGAGAGGGTCGATCAATCAAGCGAGCGAGCAAGGCGAGATATATATATATATATATATATATATATATATAGAGAGAGAGAGAGAGAGTCGGTGAATCATTGATGATCGGAACTTGTCACTATTTCGTCAAATTATTCGATTCGAATGTACAATTAATTATCGACCCTCCGGCGAGCGTGTGAACTAATCGTTGTCTTTTGTTTCTCTTCCTCGTCTACCGTCAAAAATGTCGACCAAAAACAACACGACGACGATGATGACGACGACGAAAAAAAGCGACGAACCGATCTCGCATGATATAAGTTTTTTTTATGGTCACAAATGAGTTCGGAAACAATAGATAATTGTGAATGCGGTGCTAACGTTCGAATACAGTTCCACGCATCTTTTAATTACGTTATAAATTAACGAGAAAGACAGATGAACAAAACAGAACCGAATGCGAGAACATTTTTTATACAACAAAATTCGCGATCAAATGAAGAGCAGAACGAGATATGAATGAGAAATGGTGTTTCGGTATCATCTATTAATTCAATTTAATTACCTCTGTGGCAGTTTTGGAGGCGGTAATATAGTCATAGAGGGTAAACATTAGATACACTCCGTTTCATTTACACTTGGACGCCAAAAATTGATGAATTCGTCGTTCGGCGCTTTTTTTTCTCTTCACATGATTTTTTTTTTTTGCTGTGTTTGTGTTGAAATGTTGCTCATTTCTTGTGTATTGAATTTCGCGGTGTTTGGCTACTGCTATGCGTCGATGGTTCTTATTCTCTGTTTTCTGTTTTTTCTTCTGTTTTTTTCTTCTTCTTTTGCTCTTATTTATTCTACACACGAAATGTCATGGCTGATGCGAACGACACCGTTCACATGAGCGCCAGATTCGTGTGATTGTCTGTCTCTATCTTTCTCTCTTCTCGGTGTCGAGGCAACGATCATTTCGTAATGTTACAATTAAACGCGGTAGATCCATCTTATTTTGATGTTAGTTTTATTCATTGGGTCTGTTAATGTCGACAAAGACGTCTATGATGATGGGATGTCGGCCGATTGATGTGATGGTGCGAGAAAATGTGTATTGTCATTTACATTTTGTACCAGCGTTCGCTGCTGTGTTACTGTTACTGGCTGTTGAGTTGATGCTTCTTCGTTTAGTGTCTTTGATTTTCCGGTTGCTACATTGTATTCAATGATGTGTCTTTGTTATAAAGTGTGGGTATTTATCTTTTCGTCGGATTCGCTGTTTGACCAGAGATAAAAGTGTGAGAACGGAACGCAGCTCATCAGCACTCATTTTATTATCATTTTCCGTAATTTCGCTTCGTTGATCGGCTTCCAAGTGGGAGAGAGAGTGCGAGTGAAATCCATCACACGGATCATTGTGTCGGTTTTGTGTCGGTGAATAAATTGGGAAAAGGTCATTTATACACACTCAGTCCGAGCTACCGGTTCTTTTGCTTGCATTATGACTTTTTTTATGTACACAAAAATCAATCCGATGTCATTTGTTCGATAGAATTTTTTTTTTCACTTCTGTCCAGTGAGTATTTCTCTGAGCCGTTTCAATATTACAAAAACACACACCGAAAAAGAGCGAGATCATAAAAAAACAACATTAAGATGGCATCGAAGTGTTTTTACAGCGCATCAATTGAAGTCAATCAAAAATCATCGACAAATTGAATTTTCCACAAAAGAAAAGAAACGTTTTTGTAGCCTGAACATAGTAGTGTGTGCGCTCGCGCGCATACACACACAGAACAAACAAACGCCGATGGGTTTGTGGCTGAGAAAAAAAGGCAGAAATATGAAAAATTTGGTGTTTGTTTAACATTTTGTAATTTTTTCCTTCTTCGTATAAAATGTGTTCTTTTTGTTTCATTTGCTTTTTGCTGTCGGAATTTCGCCCTATTGATCATCTTCATCATTTACCTCCCAATTTCGAATTGGATCGATCGAACGGTTATACAAACAACAACCTGGCTGAATGTGTATTCTTGTCTTTCTTTATTGTTGCTAAAT